GGTTCGATTCCCGGCCGATGCAAACTTTTTTAATTTATAAAATTATTTCATCAATTAGTTACATAAAGAGTTCTAATGCCTTTTTTTAAGTAATATTTTACGAGATGTAAAAATTATCGAGTAAAGATTAAGAGAGAAGAGGATCTCACTCGAGTCCGAGGAATTTTAATCCTAGGAAATTCAAACCAGAGATACATAGGATTACTTAAAAACTGCTAAACTTTTGCAATCTTGCCACTCAGCCTCTGATGATTATCACTCTGCTCCCATGAGCGTAGTCAGTTAGGGTGTCAGTCACATCAACGCAAAAAAAAAGTCCACTCATTGGCTGTAGTGTGCAAGTTCGGAAAGAGGAGACCAGCTCAGGCGCTGTGCACGTCGTCCGACCAGAATCAAAATTATGTGGCATTCCTACCACAGTAGTTCAAAAATAAAGTTTTAAAATAGGGCTAGGTGCTTGGACCATAGTTGTGTGATGGTGAAGATGATGGTTATTGCTGTATTTTTTTATACCTTATGAATTTACATTTACACTTTTTACATTTAATAACTGGACCGAAATTTGTTTAAAGGTAATAACAAAGTTTATGAATGATTTATCATGAGTATGAGCTCGAAACCTATTCTCAGTTATCGGTCCTCCTACCTGTTAAAAATATAATAGGAAAGCGTTATTATATGATAAGCTAGTTAGGTTAAAAATATAATGGGAATAGGTAGGTTACATGCTCTACACCTACTTGCATCAGAGAGTGACACTTTAATTAGGTTTTTATGTTTCCTTCTCGGTGGTGCAGTTAACCCATTGGGCAAAAACAATTAAAATAAAAATTTAAATTGTTAAAAAAATATAAAAGGAAATTGTAATTTTAGAAATGTTTTTACGTTTTAATTTTAAAAATGATTTTTATTTACAAATGATTTATTGAAATATGAAAATGTTTTTAAATACAAATGTTTATCAACAAATAATAAAAAAATAGTAAAGCCAATTTAAATCATAGATTTTTTTATTAAAAATAAATCTAAATATTTTAGTGATAAAATATATTTTCAGTTATACAAAAAGTATGGAAATAAATATTTTTAAATTGATTTATTTTTATAAAGTGATTCATAATAGATTTGGGTGAATTTTTCATAAATTTTTTGTATGATGGAGAAATGTGAAGATTCGAAACAATGTCTGAATTTTTAAATCCAGGCCAATGATCCATCTACCACTGAAAATAATTTTAAAAAATATTCTAAATTTGAAATTGGTTAAAAATGAACATTTAGAAAATTAAAACAATTATAAATTTAAAATTGCATGCTTTTTTCCCTCAATACTTTAAAAAAATTATTAAAAATTAATATCGATATTAACACATGATATGATATGAAACAATTTTAATAACGCATGATATTAAAAATTTTAATATATTTTAACACGTAGTAATATAAGAACTTATATGTTCTGATGTTGTTTTAAAGGTATTATATTACAAAGTATTTATTCTCTTCCGATATGATTTAAGGAGGACAATGCTGGCTTTTAATAATTAGGATTATATTTCTTAAGGATATACTTTTATTACATCTATCTATAAAGAATAGTTTTGAAGATACTTTAACAATTCTCTGCAACGCTTGTAACTTCATACAAAGCACACATTAATAAGTTGCATTTCATTAAAATAATCTCGGATTCATGATAACAGCTGATTCAAACAGCGTCACCTCTAACTGGACGCACGGGAATAAAAATGTACATTTAACGAGATTCCGAGAAAACGCATCAGTAATTCTTTGACAGAGGGATAACATAGCATATACAATCCATCTTAAATCATGTAACTTTCCATCAACCATCCAATCTACCGGAAGGGTGGACGATTTTGGGGAGGAAGACAGAGATCAAAGACCCGCCACAGAAGATATTGTCTTTCCTTTTCACAAAAAAAAAGGGGAAAAAAAAGTCATAATCCGATCTTGTCTTACTAAGCTGAGGTGGAAGGTTTCAGATCCATACATCGCGTGACGGGCTGCTGGACATGGTCATTTGACTGGAACATAGGTAGCCAAACCTCTTCGGTTTATTCCAGTCCAATTTTTTTTGTACAGAAGCTCTATGTTAAATATGTATTGCAATACATGATATTTGCAGCAAAAAGATAGAAAAATTCTTTTATTTTATGGATCGTTTGGTAATGCAAACGATATTTAGTTTCTTTCATTGCTTGGAGTCTGACAAAATTATGATTATGAAAGAGTATTAATATCTTTAAATTTGAGTTCACTTGGAAGATTATAGGAACGCTGGAGTCGGTTGAAATATTTTTTAATTAAATAAATGTACACAGAATTACAGAGAATATGAGTTTGCAATGGCGGAGACAAGAATCGTTTTCAATTTTTGATGGAAGACTTTTATGTGGTGTAAGTTTTTAAATCTTTATGTTTAAAACACGTCTGCAATTTTCATCATCTTCATATTTACATCAATTATAAGCAAATTCATGTTTTGTTTTCTCTTGAAAATTTTATCATTGTTGTTAGCATTCCCTTTTTTGGAATATTTTATTGAATGACATCCTTTTTCGGTATATATTTTTATTTATGTGTGCATTCTCAATAATATTTTTTTAATCCTAAACTTCATTTCAAAATGCTACAGCCAATTATTTAGTACAACTTTTATATTCTTTCATCTTTGCAAAACTGTGTACTAATATATTATATCTGTGTGTTATTTCATTTAAGTGTGTCAGCTTTATATATATTTCATATTTATCATCAATAATATTTAATTTTCATTATGCATATATTTGCATATGTATTTAGTATATTATGCATATATTAATTTTCATTTTAAACTTTAGCAAAAAGTATCAAGTCTTATGGTACTAGTTATTGTGATATTGATTTTGAAAAATAATTAATTCATACGTTTATACTTACATTTGGTGCACAACTTGTTAAGAAATTTAAATTACTGTATATAACTAAAGGTGCTTCAATATTTATGATTATTTTAAACAAGCGATAATAAATAAAAAAAATACTTCAGTTAATTTAACCAACTAGTAGAAAGAGAATAAATTATAATGTGAAAATCAGTTATTAAAATTTTGAGTATTTTTATTCGATTTAAAAAAAGACTATAACATGTTGTTTGTTTATTTTTTATTTTGACCCAAAATATTTAATTTTCCTGTTGTATAATATTGGCCTTTCTTTAAATATAAGCATTTATTTTTTTAAAAAAATATTAGAAAACTTTTTTTCTCTCATGAAACACAGCAACATTGTCAACTTTTTAAAGGCAAAACCTCCAGCTAAAAAGATAAAGAAATTGCGGATATTTTTTTAATCCACCCTAAATGCAATAAAATTTAATCATTGTTTCCGTTACTCAATCTAAACATTAAGGAACTCAGCCTTAAAAACCCCACGTAAGCTAAAGTTCAAGGCCTGACAAAGAATAAACAATTACGATTACACATAATATTTTTCAAAAATGAATGTTTGTAATTATTTAATCTAAAAACCATTAATCAATGTTATAAAGTACATCGCATATCCTGTTCCTTTCGAAATATTTTTTTCGAACTTGAAAATTTTTTCAGATATCCAATTATCTAATACGTAAATTTACACGATGAACATAAATAAAAATTATTAAATAAAATTTCTACCTCTTTTCTAAAAAAAAAACATTCAATGCAAAATAAATAAATAAATATAAATGAATAAATAGAAATGAATAAATAGAAATAAATAAATAAATAAAAATAAATAAATAAAAGAAATAATTAACTGTTATATTCGGTTAAGGAGTATGAAAATCATGGATTTGCATTCCTTTAGGTTTCTCAAATATTTTTTGTTACCTTTTACTAAAATGCAATTAATTAAAAGAAGTTTGATTCTTAATGAAAAGATGTTGAAGTTGTAGAAAGGTTTTGCTGATACCTTTTTCTAGTTCTCCACTGGGTTTTAAGATAACTTTAATCTGTATTTAATACTTTACTTTTAGATTTGCACACAGAATTTAGCAACATCTTTATAATCCTTAAGAGAAAAACAAACGTTTGGGTATTTTTAGCCAAATGACTCTTTTATGTTTTTAAAAAAATGTTTCAAGCAGAAACAACGGGGAAAAACGCTATCATCTTAAATAAATTACGATTTTGCAATGAAAAATGCATATTATTTTACTTACAGGAGCAATTCCAAAGTAAGGAATAGAAAAATAATATATTTTTTATAGAAGCTGAGATTATTCTGTATGTTCAGATTTTAACAACTCCCTGCTATGTCCTTGCATTTAATTTATTTCTGCTCGTTGTCAGCATCGAATCGTAGGTCATTCAAGTATTCTTTCAATTAAAGAAACTCTTGGTTTTCTTTGGATCCCGTATCTGGACTATAGGTTGGATGGGTCGAAGTGTTTCGTTAAAATTGGTACAAGAGAGTGGCGGCTTAACGGGAGATAAAGTAAAATATGATTCTCAATATTTTCATGAGGACATTGCGGTGAGCTGATATGATATGAGCAGAAAAAAACTAACACAGTATGATGATTAACACTGAAGTGATGACCATGCTTAAAAATAGAAGACTTTCCCTATTTTAAAATAATATAATACTCTATGAGTCGAACATCGTTTGTATTTCAAGGGAGAAAATGGCACTTTCAAGATTGGTACTTAATTTCTTCTATTTTACTTCTAAAAACTTTTAATAAACATTATTATCATAACCGAATTCATCAAGCATTGTTATTTACTTTGATATTTTGAAAATAGGAATTGAAATTTTCCATGCATATTCCATGCGAGCTAAGTGAATGCATGGTATTATGCAGAAAGCATCCAAAGGTAATTTTAAAAAAATATTGCTCTAAAATTCTATGCTTCATTATAATTTTAAAGGCTTCTTTAATAATGTAGTTTTTGATACAAGAGCCACCCGATTTCATAAGCGTTGCTTAATTTGAAAATTATTTCTTTCAGGGTGAAATAGGTTTTGCCACTTTACCAGAGCAAGTTCATAGGAAATCGGTGAAAAAAGGTTTTGACTTCACCCTCATTGTTGTAGGTGAGATAGATTGTTGTTTCAAAAAACTGCAATGATTTGCACTTAATTAGGATATAATATCTGAAATATCATAATTGTATATTAACATTTTATTAGACATTAAATAATTTAACTATTGTCATATGCATACAAAATGAATTTAAAATGAATATTTTTTCTGCTTCTTACTTTGAATTGTTTTTTTTATGTATTTTATTTGAACACAGTTAAATTTGGTATTTATTTTAAACGTAAATTTTTATTTTGTAGAATTGCACTTTCATTTCATACAATTGCATTAGTCATTTTCGTGAAAAGTTGCATATGTAGCTTTGTGTGTAAAAGATAAGTGAATTTCCGATTCATTTTTTAAATTTTTTTTAATATTTGTAAGTCATATGCCCTATAAACTCACCAATTCAGTACTTTTCACTGACATTTGAACAATTAAAATTTCAATCTTATATACTTATAGTTCTTGCAAGCTAAATATCATAAGTTGAACTGATTTAATATTTTTAAAACTAATTCTTATTTGAAAATATTTTGAGGTTTGACTTTTTCCGGAACAAATATTCTAATCCTTGAAAAATACTGAAATTAATTCTATAAAGCTACCAAAAAAAGGAGAAGTTGTGTCAAATTATGAGTAGGTAGTTAGTGGGAACGCATCAGGCTTATTACACAAACTATTTACCATGCAGAAAACAGAAGAAATACAAATACCACTTAACTAATTTTTTTAGTTATGTATACCTTTTTTTATGCCTTTGTTAAATCATTAAAATGCTTTAATTTTATTACTCTACAGTAAGCCATATATGGGTACATAGTAGTAGGGGTTAGATTTAGAAAATTATTAAAATAATACGAAACACTAATTTAAATTTTTTTCTTTCAAAACTGTTTTATGAAGTGAAGGAACTCTTGATCTATATGAGATTTTCTTGGTCTGTAGGAGATTACATGGAAAGATACATTAATTTTTGACATGTTTTATAAAGTTTAAATCTGTAATAAGTATGGAGGTTCAGGTCTATGGGTACCCATGTGTTCGACATCCTTAGAGCATCGATCACAACGTTGTGGTCGACGCTCTTATTGTTTTTAAATTTATAATTTCATTCATTATTTATCTAAAAACAAACAGCATATTTTTTAAACTCTATTTAAGACATTCAGAATGTATTGAAAGACATATTGCGGATATACTAAAACTAGAAAACTGAATTCTTTACATTTTCTAGTTTGTTGATTAAGTTATCAACAACCAAAGCTTTGAAATGCTATGACTAGATAGTTCTAAAACTAATCGAACCAGGATTTAACTGATCAATCATATGAATGAACAAGAAAGCCTTCTTACCTACAGGGGTTTTACTTAAATGTTGATTTAGGACAGGTTAATGCTTTTAGTTTAGAGGAAATAATGTATGAAGTTTATCTAGTTGACAAGCATCGGTGGTTCAGTGGTAGAATGCTCGCCTGCCACGCGGGCGGCCCGGGTTCGATTCCCGGCCGATGCAGAAACTTTTTATAACTTATTGTTAAAAAATTTTTAATTAATAGTAGCAGATTTTTTTTAACTTTCTTTTATTCATTGGTTATCTAAAAACTAAAATTGAATTTGACAATCATAAAACATGCGAATGTATTGAAAGTTATTCTTAATGTCTAAATAGTTCATTAAAAGTCCTTTTATTTATTTATTTTACTTTAATATATACTTAACAGTTTTATGGATTCAATCGGAATTCGGTAAAGTTCTTTTGACCATACAGCTTTTAAAAAAGCTGTATTATCAATGCAATTTATGCTCCAGGGATATTTCCTTTACTAACCTTTTGAATGTTGCATTTTCTAACTTTAAAAATAAGTTATTCAAATACTTGAAGTCTATTTGTTTTCTTCCTTTTTTTTGCATTTTTAATGATTGTCTTTATCATGGACATTTAATATTTCTACAAAGAGTAAATTAAAGGCTCAAAAAAAAAAGTTAAAAGAAAAAACTTGATCATTAGTAGAGGTGTAGTTATTAAACAGAAACTAAATCATACATTCTTGTTTTGAGACTTTTTATTTAACTTACGTTGTAAAATAATGATTAGCTGTTTAGTCTTTTTTGTGAAAATAACTCGTATAAATGGAAGGAATATAACTCTGATAACTTCGTAAAAATTCCGATCATGCTCCCATGTAAAAAATGGCAAACTTGAAAACCAGAAAATTAGGAATAAAACTGAATAAATTACCAAAAAGGAATAAAATTTGGCAAACGTCAATTTCCTTTGGCAAATGTCGACTGCAAAGTAGTTTTGATGAAGACTTAAAAGTCTGTCACTGTCAAATAAATTTAGTCATTAAATCAATAGTGCGTTGCCACAAGGGAAAATATTGACATTCAGTAAATAATTCAATAGAAAGTTCGCTTGTATACGAGTTATTATTCTCTTACAATTCTTCCATCAGGCCCAGTTGAATATCGTCATGTAAGAGAAAAACAATGCTTAATTAACCATTGGAGCGACTCTAAAAATATTTCAAGACTGGACTTATTTATTGACAAATTAATATGGTACAGCATTTACTGGAATTTTCAGAAATTTATAACTCACTGACCCCAAAATTTACCTTTCCGTGATAGTGGCCCCAATAACTTTTTTAAAATTTTTTATTTAATTAATTTTTAGCAAGCAAAACAAAAAGAGCAGCTAATCGTGTATATATTTTACACCTATAATTGAATAATAAAGTCCCTAACTTTTTTCTGAAACCAATCATACCTCCGCTTATTTTTCGTTCTAGCACTATAATTATAAGAAAATACATTTTGATTTATTTTCGGCCAATAAATTGGAGGGGGGGATAGTATCTAAGTAATAGTAGTTTAGATTCAGCAAAAGTACAAGTCTCATCCTTTCACTGCAATGTGACATCATTACTTGATCATTTTGTAATAATTGTGAAAAATAACATTGTTTTCATAAAAAAAAGCATTTTTTTTATTTTCAACAGAAAATATGTCACATTTTTAAGAAAAAAAGGAAATTATTTTAAGAAAAAAAATAGGAAAGAGATATTGATGAAATTTAGACAAATGATTTTTCTCAAGACTGATTTCAGTCCCCAGGACTGAAGACTGGCACCCATGAGCTCAAATAAATGAAAATATTTTTTTTTTTTAACATTCACCATCAATACCTTTTGTGTGCTTCAGTTTGTTGCTAATAAATAAGAAGAAAAAAATTAACAAATATTTTCAAACAATAACCGAAGCAACAAGGGGAATATTCGAAATCCACAGCAGACATTCTCTAATGCTGGGGACTCACAGTAACAGATGCACGTGAATGTCAAAGTAGTGTAGCCAATGAAAAAAAAAAGTGCAGAAAAAAAAGCACTTCTAGGTTATTTAAATGACTTCCTGGTTTCACCAAGCAGGCTTTCCCGCGTGGCAATTAGCATTAGAAACAACAACAACACATATTTGTATTAATTTAAATTATATTATGTACTGAATTTAATATTAATTTCGTTGCAATAAATCATACCATCATAAGTGCTCTCATAATTTCTAAATAATTTATTTTCATTCGAATTTCGAATGTTTATATAATTTTTATCATATATTTCAGGTGAGACAGGTTTAGGGAAATCAACATTGATCAATAGCTTATTTCTTACAGATCTTTACAAGGATAGAAAAATACTTAGCGTTGAAGGTAAGCAATAACTTTTAAAAACGTTAGTTGAAAATTTTAATCTTATGAATCTCAATAAAATAAATTAATAAATGTAATTTTAGAATTTTTAATTGGTTTAACTACTCAGAAAAATGAATTAAACAGTTGAATAAATTTATAGAAATGGATAAAATTTTATTTTAAAGCAAGTGTCTTCAAAAGTACGAAATTCCTAGGAGCTAGAACCAATTTTTGATCTTGTTATGGAGTGGAAAGTAGGGTAATAACTTTTTGAATTTAGGAAAGAGCAGTTATTATTATTAGTTACTTAAGAACAGTTATTATTCTTATTATATTATCTAAAGATAAATAAAGTGTTTAGAAGTGTGGACTACATTCTTAATTTGCAAGCAATCAAGCTAAAATCATATGTTTCTGATTGGATGTCATGTTTAGGAAAAAAATCCAGTAAAGATTCAGATTTTCAGTATTTTTTAGTAGAAAAACAGGATAAGATTAATTCAAATATAGGGCACCTGCTAAGAGTTTTTAGACTCCATGACTTCCCGGTGCCTAATATTTGTATACAATTTCCGAAAAATTTAGAGAATCGACCATTAATCTGTCTGCTTTCTTCGACAAAAAAAAGTCCAGCAATCGTATTTGTGAGTAACTTCAGCATAATTAATAGGGTTGATCGTTAATTATATGGTAATAATATGAAGTTTACTAATTCAATGCATGAGTGTATGTACACCTTTTCTTGCCGTGGTTACGGCATGAGATTACAAACACAAAGATCCCGGGTTCGAATCCAGACGGTACCAAAAGAACATCTCTCTCATTCTTCCTATTGATGATCACGGAAAACGATCATGCAATTCTCTCTCTCCTAGACAGATGGCAGCAACATCTTATTTCACCTCGTTAACTGGTTTGCCTTGCGATTAACAAGTCGTCAGAGTCTCAAAAAACGTCAAGGCCCAAGCTGTAAATATCTTTTATGAGTATAAGTAAATTTATGGCCAGTGTCATGCATATTTAAAAAAAATAATAATAAACAAAATCGGTAAACATGTATTTGTATGGTCTTGATAGTTTTACGGTTTAAATTTACTTTTACTGTCAGTGACTATAGAACACATTTTATCCGGTCACTGACCGTAATCTAGAGTGAAAAATTTTCGTGGTATAGATTTCTATTATTTTTTTTAAATAATTGAACTTGGGTTGATATATCAATCCCATATGGAATAAGATTGTAAACAAAAAATATTTAGAGAAGCTTCTCAGGATTAAAATTTATATTTATATCAGCTAAATTTTAAAAACATATCAGGAAAGAAAGTCAAGAACATATAATGCATATTAGAAAGTACGTAAAATCTATTCCAGGTAGCATGATATAACAATCTTAATATTGGACTTACAATTCTATGCAATCTCTCTTTAGAGACATTCGTAAGCAACTGTAAATATTTTGACAGTCTAAAATGAAGTAAAAAGCAGACATATTAGGGATCACAAGTTAATACTTAACAGAGAAAAGAATCAAAACATTAAAACAATTTGATGAATCAAAAATTAGAAAGCGGATAAATGAAACACAAAAACTACTATAATTGCCGAAAAAACATGAAAAGTTCCTAATATTAACATTTCACCTTGTATCAGTTTCTATTTGCAATCAAACGTGTGTTGATGATTTTATTCCTGCCTTCTTTTTTAATGATTTAAACTGATTTGTTTGCTGGTTTTTTGTTTTTCTTGTTTTTTTTCAAAGTGTGTGTTATCCTTTCAAATTTTAAAACCGTCCTAAATCTAAAGACATAATTAGTGGATAGCAATTATTTACTATTTATGGAATGCATATTTTAGAACGTGTTGACAGAACAGTTGATATTGAGAAAACAACAATCGATATCGAAGAAAAGGGAGTAAAACTGCGTTTAACAGTTGTAGACACACCTGGATTTGGAGATGCCATCAACTGTGAAGAAAAGTAAGTAATTTACAAAATATATACTGTACTGTTCACCTGTACACTTTAAAAAAATTATATTAAACACAGACATAACATTTCAGCAGTAAAAAGACAAAACTGCTTTTAATTTTTATCCAAAACAGCTTAAACGAACTGAAAGCGTGCTTAGTAATAATAAAATATAAGCTAAATTTGTTAGAAGTAGTGTTTCAATAAATTCACTATTGAAAATTTTGAAACGCTTTTAACCAAAAGGTGTATAAGTATTTGTTGCAATCTTGCTATATTTTGCATGGAAAAGTATTTTAGCGCTAATATTTGAACTTGATTACATACTAAGGTTCAACTTGAGTGGAAACATGATTAAGTTTACATCTTATTAAGATTCAATTTTAAAGGAAACATGATTCAATTTATATCTCACTAAGGTTCAATTTGAGCGGAAACATGATTCTTACTAATGTTCACCTTGAAGGGGAACATGATTCAGTTTACTTCTTACTAAGGTTCAACTTGAAAGAAAACATGATTCAGTTTGCATTACACTAAGGTTCAATTTGTATAGAAACATGATTAAATTTACGCCTTACTAAGATGGCAGCACTTTTTCTGATTACTATTTAGAACTCTATTTATTGCTTTACTTTAATATTTATAAAGAGTGTTTTTATAGTTGATGTATTTAAAAAATGTCTAAAAATTGTTGTAGTTTTAGATGTTTAAATTTTTAGACACATTATATATAATTTTTAAATACAAAAAAGTTGTTTATTTTCAAACATTTACTTTCATTTTTATAAAACGTGGCTTTTTTCTTCAACTGTTCTATGCAGTTTTTAATAATATAACGATCAAAAATTGACTGATTTTGTTGAGGATATACAATTTGACAAAAAATTATTCATTTTTCTGTCTTTTAATTACTTTAATCAGAGCAATAAATTTTTAAAAAATTCATTTAATTTTTAATTATTAAATGAAAAATATTTAAGCTGTAATATATTATTATATAAATAAACATTATTTTTTTAATTTTTTAGTATCAGAATCGGTATTATTGTGCTGCTTTTTTTTCAATAAGAAGCGATTTTATGATTTAAATTACAAGCTCAATGAAACAATTGCTATACATGCTTTTTATTTATTATGTTATACTTAGAATACCTTTGAAATGTTAAACTTAGGTAGGTTTTAGAATTTGATAATTCTGTAAAAGACAAAACAATGAATTAAGACATTAAATTTTGATAAAAACTGATCTACTGACGAACAAGGACTGATCTAGCGATGAACTTGAATGAACGAGGAAGTAAACTTTACCTGCAAGTGTGCTTTACCTGATTATAGATTTAGGTTAATGCTTTAAGTTACAGAAAACGTATTACATAAAGTTTGTATTCCTATCAAGCATCGGTGGTTCAGTGGTAGAATGCTCGCCTGCCACGCGGGCGGCCCGGGTTCGATTCCCGGCCGATGCAGCAGATTATTTTTATTTAAAAACATTTTTACGTCATGGTCCCGCAATACCATGGAAGAAACTTTTCGTCGCAAATTCTCTTTCATTTTCATTACAAATTTAAAATATAAAAGAAAGAGAAAGTGAGTTCAGCCATGTAGTTTCAATCGTTGAAAAAAATATTAAAACATCAAAATTGTACTAATTGTTCTAACAATTGCAAATTGTTGGAACAAAATTTCTCCTTAAGCTATTTTCTCATAATTTTTTTATTTTTATTTTTTGTTCGGATATTTTGAATTTTTTTTTCTCCAGTAACTCAAACTTCATGGCATACTCGAGAAATAAATCCCTTTTGTCAGGATATTTCCTACGTTGTTATAATAGTATGTATTAGAATTTCATTAGAATTGGTAAAATAGAATCATAAATTAAGTTGGGAAATCTTTTAAGAACTTAGTATAAAATAAGATTATTAATATAACATAATTTTAAAATATTGAAAAATGTTGCATTTATATTGTGTGTTGATGTTGTGCAATTTAATATTAAATGTGTGTGATGAATTGTAATTCACTTCGATCTCATTCTGATTTTTTCAAGATATTTGTGTTTCTTTAATGAAGTTATACATTTATGTTAAAAATATTTAATTACTCCGTTCTTTATTTTTATTGGTTATATGTAAGGAATGTATGAATAACAATGATAACCTGAAATAAATAATATGGTATGTACAGTGCGTAAAATAAGAGACGTGAATAACTTTTAATCCTAATGAGCTTATCTTCACGTTGTTGGTCTCAATCTCTATGGTTGGAGGAGGTGTAATTAAATATACTTTACAATTAATTCAGACGATATTTTGAGTTACGAAATCAGACACAAAAACGTACTTTCCCTGAATCCTGAATGAACTTTTTCTTCGATGGATTCGTATTTCTGACTCCCAAAATGTAGGAAGCTAGCCGCAATCTAGGAAATACGGTCCTAATAGTTTGGACAGTAGTGGGGGGGGGGGTCCAAAGTTTGAAGCCCTCAATGTTAATTTTACTTTTTGCGTATTTCACCATACCTCGAGGACTTTTTAAGAGAATTGAAATATTTTTGCTAATAATTAAAAAATTCGTTTATCCAAAGATAATATCATGCAAAATTTGTAGTAAGTGTTTAATCATTACATTTAACAATTTTTGGAAAAGTTTTTTGAAATTTAAAGTGTAAAAATTTTTATATCGAAGAAAGCAATTTTAAAAGGTAAAATATGAAATTTGAGAGAAATCGGTTGAATAAGTTCCTCAGGAATCAAATTTTGAAAAAGTTGTATTTTAAAAATTTGATTCCTCAGGAACTATTCAACCAATTTTTCTCGAGTTTTGTAATTTGTCTTTGAAAATTAATTTCTTTAAAATGAAATAAAAATTCTCATACTTTACTTTTAAATTTTTTTGACTATTTGTAAATAAAACCATCAAAAATAATGCATGCTTACTTAAAGTTGTAGTTTGCATGATATTATCTTGGATGAAGAATTTTTAATTGAGTGCAAAAATTTTTCAATTTGCTTCAAAAAGTATCGAGAAATAGTGACATACGCAAAAATCAAAACTTACATTAAACTTTGGATTTCCCTCTTGGCCAAACTATGGGTATCTTATTTCCAGATTGAGTCCACTCCCTATGTTTTGGGGGTCAGGAATCCAAATCCATTGAAAAGAAAGTATGTATATTCAGAAAAAGTACGTTTTGGAGCCTGATTTCGTAACTTAATATTTAATATACACTAGTTAATAAATAACTAATGTATGAAAGAAAATCTGAAATATAATTACAGAAAAATAAATTCTTTTTAAAAGGTCTTAACAAAAATGTTATATAAACTACTTATTTTATGAATATCAAATTTACTTGTAAGCGCTTTGTATTACGTTTTTACTTGTAAATATTTATTTTTAATTACTGTAATTCATGTATTTTTAGTTGGAAGACAATTGAAAGATACATAGATGACCAATTTAATCAATTTTTCAAAGATGAAAGCGGCTTGAACCGAAAAAATATTGTAGACAACAGAGTCCATTGTTGTTTGTATTTCATTCCACCCTTTGGACACGGGTCAGTAGAAAATATTTACTTTCTTGCATTATTCAAATTGCATGAATGGAACAATTTTGGGTATTTTTCTGTTGAAAGGAACCAAAAACTTTGTCAAACTAATTTTTGACACCAGTGAATAATAGGAAAAACTAGTATTGTGGTAACAAATGTTGTGACATTAGGCACCTTATAGTATCTAGGTATTATGATTACAAGTTTTATACGGTCCCCTTTAACACCCATACCTATATTTTAGAACCTTTCTGTTTCAATAATACTCTAATAAACTGATTATATATTTTAATTGCAGACTTTAGTTAAATCTTAAATTGAGGTTTTCATTTGTGTTTCTTCGTTATTATTATCAATTGAAATGTTTTAAAAATCCACTGTGTGTTACCAATGAAATATTTTCAAGAGACAGAATTTACAAATTCTTTGTAAATGATTGTAAATGAATGATTTTTAAAAACAAGTAATTTTAGTGTATAATCGTTTCCGTGAATGGCCGAAATTAAGAGAATGTCGACTTTCACCGGTGAATGTCAACAATCACAGAGTCGCTTTGGTGAATGTCCGAAATATTTGTTATATCCGATTTTATATTAATTTATTCGTTGATATTATTATATTTACTCGATATTATGATATTATTATATTTTAATATCCTCTGAGGATAGATTAGGAGAAACATCAGTGTTTGGAGTACCGGTTAAATGCATACCGGACAGTGGCACTTGACCTTGAAACATTGTTGCAGGGTATACCGGGCAAATGTATACCAGGCAGGACCCAATAGATATATTTCTGATATTCACCAAAGCGACCAATCACCGGTGGAAGTCAACAACCACCAGTTTCGGTCATTCACAATGACGCAATCATCTCCTTTTTCAGTCTCAGGCAACTGGATGTAGAGTTCATGAAAAGATTACACCAAAAAGTGAATATTGTTCCTGTTATTGCAAAAGCTGATACTCTCACTCCACAAGAAATCAGAAAGTTGAAAGATACGGTACACACAATTATTTTTTTCAAGATTGTCATTAAAAAAAAGTTTGAACTGCAAGAAAATAATAATATTACAAAGTAAATACTTAAAAATCAGAGCGTTTTTTGTCGTATGATTCTTTTAAAGAAAAATATCGTATGAAAACTCAATCCAATTTAAATATCGATATTTGTATTTTACGAAATCTTAGGCCTTTATTTCATTGATGTAGGGCAGTTTTTTCAGCATATGCTAACAGTAATAAAAGTATTTTTCATGTTTCAGAACATATAAAAAATATTTGTTATGAAACAATTACTGTTTGTAATAAAACAATTACTGTTTGTTATAAATAAATTTGTACTAATTACAAAATAATTGCTGGTAAATTCTATAAGCAAATACTTAAAAATCAGAACGTTTTTTGTCGTCTTTTAAAGAAAAATATCATATGAAATACTTTATCCCATTTAAATATCGATATTTGTATCTTAAGAAATCTTAGGCTTTTATTCGTTCGTGTGAGACAATTTTTTTAGCATATGCTAAAAGTAAGAAAATTATTCTTCATGTTTTAGTACACATGAAAATTATTTTTATAAAACAATTCGGATTTGTAAAAAAACTTTAAAAAAAACGACCTTTTAACGTTTTTTTTTTGAGTTAAAAGCATTAATTGAATTATAAAAGCACATTAAAACCACCTTTAACCACTTATCTGCTTAATATTTTGACCCAAAAATGAGCAATTTCTCTTTGACCAATTTTGAGCTCTAATTGATTATTTGAATTCAAATCAGCAATCGAAATTGCTATAAGTATTTCATTAATTTATTCTTGATAATTTTTAAATATGGCAAAAAAGTAAAGCATTTTTACTTATAGCGAGTCCTTTTTATGTAGAAGGCATAGAACTGGAAAAAATTTTTTACCACGGATAAATGAAAAAAAAAACTTTTTTTTAATACTTACATTTGTATTTCTTCTCAAAATTTAGTTTTGGTATGGTATGTTTTAAAGCATGACTATATTAGAATTATATTCTGTTATGAGGCAATGTCATCCGTCTTTCTTTTATTAACATTTCGTCAACTTTCTCTCAACACTTTTTAATATTAAATAAATTTTTTTCATAAGAAACTGTCATGAAAGTTGAAATTCTTTCAATATCTACTTCAGGTATTAAGAGAAGTAGAAGAGAATCAAATAAGGATTTATCAACTTCCTGAATGTGATAGTGATGAAGATGAAGAATTCAAACAGCAAGACAGGGAATTGAAGGTATCAAATACTTTTTCATTTCTTGCATGTCTATATGTTAGGTATAAATACATACAGAGTATATTTAAACACCACGCACAAACTTGGAAAACAAAAAGTTCACATCTGGAAATGTCATAGCATGCCACTAGTGGATTTATCCCTATTATGGTGTGGCTGTTCATGCGCATCTGATTTAGTTCTTTTATTACTTTACTTTTATTATCAATTATTATTATTATTAAAGCGATTAAATTACTTTACTTTTATGTAAATGCAGTTCATAATTATAGGGTGGCACCTCTAGTAGCGTACGATAACTTTTCCGACTATGAATTGTTACGCAATTCACAATCTTTATGTGCACCTTCAAGCTTTTCCGTGGGTTCGAAAAAATATTGTTTACATTATCACAAATTTGAAAAATTAATTTACTTCTAACTTGTATATAGCGCTGGATAGTGCAAACGTTACAGGGATACCACGGGCGAACAAAAAATATTAAGAAACGGCAAGAATGGAATTAATTTTTATCTATTCAATTATTCAATCGTAACTACCACCATGACTGACATTGCTAATTATTCATAATTAAAGCGAAAGCATTCTTTGCTGGCACTTTCTATAGTAAACTGAAAGAAATATGCTAAACAAATGTGCTAACTTTAATCACTTCTAATAGATTTTTGCTTTTTATCAGTCACCACTTCTTACAGTTTTTAACTGTTTAGTCACCCATAACATCGCTGATGTTTTTATTTTTATGAATTTGTTTATTTTTACGCAAACAATGATTCCTTAATTTATAATTTTGGCTAAGTTTTAAATTTTAATGGCCTCTGCAATTTTCCAACTTTAATGGCCTCTACAATTTTAAACTTTAAAGTCTCCTAGAAAAAATGACTAGAACTGAACAATAGAAATTTTTGCTATGATAGTAACACTCTTTACAATTCATATTGATGCAAGCCTGAAACCTCAACATAATTAGTTGAAATACTAATCAATGCGATACTTGGTCATCAATCTTATCAGAGATTGATGCTATCTGACAATCAATCTATAGGTTTAATATTATTTTATTAATTGAAATTTTAATGAACTATTTTATAAAACTACTATATTTGATATTAAGGTTATAATACCGCTAGCTGAATTATTACATTAGTTTTGCAAAGATATTATTTTAATATTCAATTTCAAGTTGAGTACTGTTTCTAGTATGATAACTATTTATTAAATTTTCTTAATGTTAGTTTTTCCATAGCTTTATGAATCTAATTTTTAATGAACTATTCTTTAAAAACTATTAACCTTCGTTTTCTTAACAGCATTTTTTATGCATTGTTTTATTTATTCAATCTGTAATGAACATTCATTTAAAATTACAATTTTTGTCATTTCTTGTGACCATTATTTGATGCGAAAACATTCTTTAATTCTTAAACATTCTTTGCCTTAATATAAATTTGCATCGATAATCTTTTTTTAAATTGTAAGTGACGACTATTTTGCAAAGATTCTATTTTTTCCTCTAAACTACCATTTAGATATTACTTGCGAGCATCGTTTACTTAACTGCCTCATCAATAATTTTTTCCAGACCTTATTTTAGCTATCCAATTTTTAATAGACTTTCTTCTATAATTTGATAATTGCTGATTGATGATCACACCTGGTATCAGAATATTGCAACTAGAATATTTCTGATGTTGGGAATGGTAACCCGCAGTTGCATTGCTTTAACATTTATTTTCCCTAAACATTATTTTGTGTATGCAATTCCCAATGGATTATTTTTTAATTACTTTTTTTTCTGGTTTCAGGAGAGTATACCGTTTGCAGTAATAGGAAGCACACAGATTGTAGAAATAAATGGTCGAAAAGTCAGAGGAAGATTATATCCTTGGGGAATAGTAGAAGGTAAAACACGAGTCTTTAATATTGTTTTTAATATTCTAATTATAAAAAATAGTAGATAGACCACTCGTCTTCCATTGAGGAGACGCAGGTTCGAATCCCATTGATGGCTTCTCGATACAAATTCTGCTCCCGGCTCACACCGACTGCAGTTCTGATGTAAAATATCTTTAGTAGTTGGTGTATCACGAGTTAGAGACCCCTAGCCATCAGGCTTACCATGGAAGATTTTCGTGGTTTTCCCTCCATGTAACGCAAATGTGGGTTAGTTTTATCAAAAAGTCCTTCCTGATGGCAAATTCATTCAGGAGTTTCCTTATCTTCTGAATTGGGTACAAAATTGCGAAGCTATATGCAGTTGAAATCATAAACTCAAAATTGGGTTGGCTCTTCAACGGCGTTTATAAAACAAAATAAAATAATAAAATCAGCATATTTGCATTTGAAATTACTCTCTTGCCGTGTTTCCACGGCCTCTCTTGCGTGTGGTGGGTGGAGTTTTCGTCAACCATGTCTTGAGCCGAAGTTGGATCCGCCGTGATAAATTGCTGCGTGTCAGAATAGCGGTTAGGAATATATTCTAATCATATATGGCAACGTTACTTTTAAAAAGTAACGAGTAAAAGTACAAGTATTTTTAAAAAAAGTAGCGAGTAAAAAGTACTTATTTTAAAAAGTAACGAGTAAAAAGTACAAGTACTAAGCAAAAAAAGTAACGATTTAAAAGTGCATTTCTAGGAAATCGAAAATTCAAAGTAACCTAAAATTTTATTGAATAATATTCTTATGTTCTTTAATGTTTTTGCAAAATTGTTGTTATTTATTTAATTATTTTTAATTTTGAAAGTTATGGATAGTAATTTATTTTCAAATTCGGAAGAATATTGTAATATAATTTTATAATATAATCGTATAATATAATTTTAAAATCAAATATAATTTTAATATAAAACTTTTTATGGATTTGCACGAAAAAGAAATTTTATCTATTGATTTTAATTTTTAGTTTATTNTGAAGGGAGCCCCAAAAACTTCGCCAAACTAATATTGACACCAATGATACTTAATTAATTGTAGTAATAGATAAAACTAGTGTAGTGGTAATAAATGTTGTGGCATTAGGTTCCTTATATCTATGTATTATGATTACAAGTTCTATACGGCCCCCTTTAACCAACACCTCCTAGAAGTAGAAAGGCCTCCGCACGGATCAATTAAGTAGTCCGATGTGACGAAGTTAACTGCGCAGCAGACGAAAAATAAGAAAGATGTCATTACGTCAGGGGTACTAAGCTGCGCAGTGGTTGAAAATACAAAATATGTCATGACGTTAGGACTACTAAGGGATATTTATGGTAACCCGTGCTGAGGCCTGTTCTTTTCTAGGAGGTGTTGGTTTAACACTCATACCTATATTTTATAATCTTTCTGTTTCAATAATACTCTTATAAACTGATTATATATTTCAATTTCAGACTTTAGTTAAATCATAAATTGAGTTTTTCAATTATGTTTTGTTGTTATTATTATGAATAGAAATGTTTAAAAAATCCACTGTGCATTACCAATCAAATATTTTCGAAAGATAGAATTGGTAAATTCTTTGTAAATGATTGTAAATGAATTATTTTTCTTTATAATTTATTAAAAACAAGCCTTATTTTCTTTACCAGGTTTAAAGTAAAGTATTTAAGTATTAAGTACATTAATAAATTTATATTTTATAATATGAAATAGATTTATTTTATTAGAATATCGAAGCATGTAAGCATTTCTGTGTATAATTATTACCGTGAATGACCGAAATCGAGAGAATGTCGACATTCACCGGTGAATGTCAACAATCACATTGTCACTTTGGTGAATGTCGGAAATATTTGTTATATCCGATTTGATATTAATTTATTCTTTGATATTATTATATTTATTCGATATTTTAATCTCTACTGAGAATAGATAGGGAGAAACATCAGTGGTTGGAGTAGCGGTTAAATGCATACCGGGCCGTGGAACCTGATCTTATAAAAACATTGATGTAGGGCATATCTGGTAGTGGCACTTAACTAGGCTTAGTATATATTTCGTATAGTATTTAGTATATATTTTACCAAAGCGGCTATGTGATTGTCAACATTCTCCGGTGGAAGTCTACAACCACCCATTTCTGTCATTCACAGTAACACAATCATTTCATTTTTCAGACTCAGGCAACTTGATGTAGAGTTTATGAAAAGATTACATCAAAAAGTGAATATTGTTCCTGTTATTGCAAAAGCTGATACTCTCACTCCACAAGAAATCAGAAAGTTGAAAGATACGGTACACATAATTATTTTTTCAAGATTGTCATGTTCTATATAAAAAAAAATACAGTTTAAACTGTGCGCGGAAATGTATAACAAAGAAAATACTTAAAAATCAGATCGTTTTTTGTTGAATGATTCTTTTAAAGAAAATATCATATGAAATACTTTATTCCATTTAAATATCAATATTTTTATCTTAAGAAATCTTTAGCCTTTATTTCATTGATGTAAGGCAGTTTTTTCAGCATATGATAAAAGTAAGAAAATTATTCTTCATGAACACATAAAAATTATGTGTTATAAAACAATTAATATTTGTTATAAAATAATTACTATATACTAATTATAAAATAATTACTATACTAATTATAAATAACTACTAATAATTATTACAAGCAGATACTTAAAAATCAGAATGTTTTTCGTCGTATTCTTTTAAAGAAAAACATCATATAAAATATTTTATCAATTTAAATATCGATATTTGCATTTCATGAAATCTTAGGCTTTTATTTCATTGCTGTAAGACAATTTTTTTAGCACGTGCTAAAAGTAAGAAAATTATTCTTCATGTTTTAGAACACATGAAAATTATTTTTATAAAATAATTGCGGTTTGTAAAAAAACGAAAAAAAAACACGTCCTTTTAACGTTTTTTTTTTTTTAGTTAAAAGCATTAATCGAATTATAAAAGCACATTAAAATCACCACTTAGCTGCTTAATATTTTTGCCCAAAAATGAGCTATTTCTTTTTGACCAATTTTGTATTAACTAATTGATTATATGAATTAAAATCAGCAGTCATAATTGCAATAAGGATTTCATTTACTTATTTTTGATAATTTTTAATTATCGCAAAAAAGTAAAGCATTTTTACTTATAGCGAGCCTTTTTTTATGAAGAAGGTATAGAACTGGAGAGAACATTTTACCACGGATAAATGAAAAAAAACACGTTTTTTTTTAAATACTTGCATTTGTATTTCTTTTCAAAATTTAGTTTTGGTATGGCATGTTTTAAAACATGACGATATCAGAATTATATTCTGTTATAAGGCACTTACTGTCATCCGTCTTTCTTTTATTAACATTTCGCCAACTTCCTTCTAACATTTTTAACATTAAATTAAATTTTTTCAAAAAAAAACTAGCATGAAAGTTGAAATTCTAGTAATATCTGTCGATCTATACTTCAGGTATTAAGAGAAGTAGAAGAGAATCAAATAAGGATTTATCAACTTCCTGAATGTGATAGTGACGAAGATGAAGAATTCAAACAGCAAGACAGGGAATTGAAGGTATCAAATACGTTTTCATTTCTTGCATGTCTATGTTAGGTATAATTATATACAGAGTATTTTTTATACACCACGCGCAAACTTGGAAAACAAATAGGGCACATCTGGAAATGTCATAGCTTGTCGCTAATGGATTTATCCCTATTATGGGCTGGCTGTTCATGCTCATCTGAATTAGTTCTTTTATTGATTAAATTGAGAGTTCGTGGGTTCGAACCCCGCTGACCGAAAACTCTCCGTGTAGTAAAGTGACTGATGCACGTCAAATCTGTCTAGTCGCAAAAGTCCTCCATGTTCCCATAACGAATCAAAACCTCTGGGGGTACTGGATTGAAGATCGATTGTTCTCTGATTCAGGTCAAAATTACGATCTGTGGATGAATGAATGGATGTATGAATGGATCCCCCCTATAAACAGGTGTGACGTATGGTGTGGCAGAAGTCAAACTTTTGGCCATAGATGGGTCCACAGGAAAACAAGAACAATCGCACCCCCTCTGCCTAAACAGGCATGCGTCAACAACAGCATTGATTAAATTACTTTACTTTTATTTAAATGCAGTTCATAATTATGGGGTGGAACCTCTAGCGGCGTACGATAACATTTCCGACTATGAATTGTTACGCAATTCGCAATCTTTACGTGCACCTTCAAGCTTTCACGTGGGTTCGAAAAAATATTGCTTGCATTATTATAAATTTGGAAAATTAAATTACTTCTAACTTGTATCTAGCGCTGGATAATGAAAACGTTAGAGGGATACTACGGGAGAACAAAAAAATATTAAAAAATGGGCGAAAATGAAATTCATTTTTATCTATTCAATTATTCAATCGTAACTACCACCATGACTGACATTGCAAATTATTTATAATTAAAGCGAAAACATTCTTTGCTGACACTTTCAATAGTAAACTGAAAGAAATATGCTAAACAAATGTGCTAACTTTAATCACTTTTAATAGATTTTAGCTTTTTATCAGTCCCCACCTTTCACAGTTTTTAACTGTTTAGTCACCCATAGCATCGCTGATGTTTTTATTTTTATGAATTTGTTTATTTTTGCGCAAACAATGATTGCTTAATTTGCAATTTTAGCTAAGTTTTAAATTTTAATGGCCTCTAAAATTTTCAAACTTTAATGGCCTCTACAATTTTAAAATTTAATGGCCCCTAGAAAAAATTACTAGAACTGAACAATAGAAACTCTTTTGCTATGATAATGACACTCTTTACGATTTATATTGATGCAAGTCTGAAACCTCACCATAATTAGTTGAAATGTTAGTCCTCCATCAATGCCATACTTTCTCATTAATCTTACTGAGTATCCGAGTAAATAGTGTAAATGCCATGGGTTCAATATTATTTTATAAGTTAAAATTTTAATGGACTATCTTATAAAACTACTATTTTTGATATTAAGGTGGTAATACCGAAAGCTGAATGGAATTAAAATTAGTTTTTCAAACATATTATTTTAGTACTAAATTTCAAATGGAGTGCTCTTTCTAGTATGATAACTATTTGCTAATTTTTTTTTAATATTAGTTTTATCATAGCTTTATGTATCAAATTTTTAATGAACTATTCCTTAAAATCCAGTAATCATCGTTTACTAAACAGCTTTTTATCACATTTTTATGCATTGTTTCAGTTATCCAATCTGTAATGAACTTTCATTTTTGCATTTCTTGTGACTATTATTTGATAAATTGCCGTAATATAAATTTACATTTCTAATTCTTAGGCATTTAATTTGTAAGTGAAGAATAGTTTGCAACGATTCTATTTTTTTTCCTCGAAACTACTATTTGGATATTACATATGATCATCGTTTACTAAACTGTCTCATTGACAATTTTTTCCCCCACCTTATTTTAGTTATCCAATTTTAAATAGTCTTTCTTCGATAATTTGATAATTGCTGATTAATCAGACCTAGTATTAAATTATTGCAACTACAATATTTCTGATGGAGAGATTGGTAACGCGTATTTGAATTGTCTTATCATTTATTTTCCTCAAACATTATTTTATGCATGCAATTCCTAATGCACTACTTTTTTCTGATTTCAGGAGAGTATACCGTTTGCAGTAATAGGAAGCACACAGATTGTAGAAATAAATGGTCGAAAAGTCAGAGGAAGATTATATCCTTGGGGAATAGTAGAAGGTAAAACACATGTCTTTAATATTGCTTTCAATAGTTTCCAAATATTGAAAGTAGTAGATAGACCGCTCGTCTTCCATTGAGGAGACGCATGTTCGAATTCCATTGATGGCTTCTCGATACCAATTCTGCACCCAGCTAACACCGACAGCTGGTTTTGATGTAAAATATCCTTAGTAATAGGTGTATCATGAGTTAGAGCCCCCAAAATTACAAGGATATGCAATTGAAAATTGGTTATCATGATCTCAAAATTGGGTTGTCTGTTCAACTGTGGTTATAAAGCAAAATAAAATGTTAAAATAAGCATATTTTACATTTGAAATTATTTTTCTGAAATGTTGAGCAGCCCCTTACGTGTGGTGGGTAGAGTCTACCATGTCTTGAACCGAACTTGGATCCTCCGTGGTAAATTGCTGCGTGTCAAAATAGCGGTTGTTATGTCCCCGGCAGTATAGGAGACGGCAAAGAACGATAATGAAAGGTGTTCGAATGATTACTTCCACCATTTAAAAAAACAATGATAAAAGTACTTTTATGACATTTGTCTTTATTAATAATTTTGCGATTTCTAATTTTTTCTCAATTTTAAAATATTTACGCTTGAAAAAACACGTCAAACTAGTTCGGGAAACCTAAGTTCGTATCAAGAACTGTGATGAGATAACATAATTGCATTTACTTTGCAGAAATGATAACTAATCAATTATTGGCAATTTAATTTTATAAGTAATAAATAACGAAATCAACGAACATCAATTAAAAGAGACTACTGAAGAGGATCGAACCATAGTTTTCGATTTCAACCGCAAAATTACTTTATAAATTCTACTAAGTAATTCAAAAATATTTGCATCTCTTAAATAAAAATTATTGTACCATTGTTCAATTAGTGTATTATTTACATAAAATTGTCACAGGGTGCTTGTAACGTCTAACCAAATGTTTATCGTCCTATCTTCTTCGTTCCTCTCCACTATGGCCACTAAGCGGAGAATATCTGCGTTATGATTGGTCAGAAATAATTCCGTCAAATCTAGCCTTCGAAGTCATTTATCGTGCTGGTCACATGACAAGAAACATTCGTAACAGTCAGCAGTTAAATCTGGAAATAGAAGTTTTTTCGAATTAATCGAGTGCAAACCGATGTTCGATCGAATTTTGTTTCAGTTACACTAAGGTCTTACATTCCAATCTTAAACTGGTGTGTTTGTGCCAGTATTTTTTTCAGGTTACCCATAAAAAGTGAATTCTGAGCCGTAGCTACTAGCTGATTAGTGTAACTTAAGTGCGACGTTGATAACGTCGAACTAAAATATTGAACGAAATCAAACTAAAATATTGAAAATACATGAGTATCAAAAAGCATCTTTTTTATAATAAGTAAAAGATAAAAGTTTGACGTTATAAATTTTAAAAACAAAGTGCTTTTTATTTGAACAAATTGAAAAAATTAATCCAATGTATATATTATCTTGAAAACACATTTAGGAATGCAAAGAATTTCGTTTGAAAAACTGGCAGCGTAACTTTCCTTTTTGTAGTTTGCTACCCAAAGAAGCACCAACTGAGAAATCTAACTGGCAGAAAAGCATAATATTAATTAAAGTACAAGTAGAATGTTACGTATTAGAACACAGGCAATGCAGCTAGCTGCCTCAGACGATAGTTTCGATCAAAAAAGAGCAACTATCAGTACAGAGATGTTCTAAGTCTCGGCACTGTGGAACATTCTGTGTCTTGGCCTTAAGTATTCTATGTATTCTTTATATTCCAATTATGCAATCGAGGTTATTTCTATTTATGGATTGTTATAACGGAACACATTGATTAATTTACCTTATTGTATTCTATATATTCTGTATATTCTAATTATGTAATCGAGGTTATTTCTGTTTATGAATTGCTATAACGGAACACATTGATTAATATACCTTATTACATTCTATGTAGTCTTTATATACTAATTATGTAATTCATGTTATTTCTATTTATGTATTATTATAACTGAACGCAGTAGAGAGTCTGTCTTATTGTATTCTGTATTGTCTGTATATTCTAATTAATGCAATCGAGGTTGTTTTCATTTATGGTTTGTCAATACGAACACAATGAATAGTCGACTTCATTATATTCTCTACTTAGTCTGTATATTCTTATTATATAAGAGAGAGGCTTATATTTTCATGTTGGTGAAAGTATTATATTGAGATATATATGAGATATTTATATTATTTGAGATATTTATTGTTTCATTTACTCTTATTACAGTTGAAAATCCTAAACATAGTGACTTTTTGAAACTACGAACCTTCTTAATCAGGTAAACGTCATACATTTTTTTTCAATACCATTACTAAAAATATGCATTTTTTTAAATTGAAAACAAATGAATTATTTATGTGTAGGAATGTAGATAAATTTTTAATTTATAAATTTTTGTTGCATTTTTCTCCCTTATGATATATACATAATTTAAATATGTAAAATACAATCAGTATTAAAATAAACCTACTTAAAAATCCATTTAAGAAAACAAATTTCTAGAAATAAGATCATGACTATTTATTCTACTTCACTGTAAAATCATTTTTTTAAATTTTAGTTATTATCTTTTTTTTATTATTTAGATTACAAAATCTATAATAATAAAATGAAATGTTTAAGTGTTTGTATATGTGTGAAATTTGAACAATGGAAGAAAGAAGTAATTTTAGCTATCCTAAGAATCGTTTCAATCCTAAGAATCGTTTCAAAACTTCAATTATTGTAGATCGTTCTGGAGAGACATTTGGAAACTGAGATTTTTTTCATTGGTGAAGAACTAGACATAGATAAAAATTAAACTATAGATGATTTGGTTTTAGGAAATATTTAAAAGCATAATTATATTTTAGCATAATATATTTTAGCATGAGCTGACTACGTCACCAAATTAGTACTCCTAAACATATCTGAAACCCTGTGACCTACCTTTAAAACTGCATCAATATTCGCAGTTTTAATACAGATATTGTGGAAAGACGTTTTTACGCCCCTCTTAAGACATAAATACCAGAAAAATTTCATAGTTGTGGTAATTGTGGTAGTAGATCGGTGAGAACTTATTGTTTCCTAACTGAAATATTAGATGTCGTAATTTTTTTAAAGAATTGTTTCGAATGCAGACAAAATGTATCTAAAAATTACAAATCAATTTAATATAATCATGACAAAATTTATCTAAATATAATCATTTTATTAATGCATTGTCTTTTTTTTGTGAATTAGCACACACATGCAGGATCTAAAAGATGTCACCAGAGATGTGCACTATGAAAGCTACAGAGCACAATACATAACTAAAATTTCTCAACAAGCAGCCAGAGAAAGAAAGTATGTCTTTCAATACTGAAATTTATTATCATGTTTCAATTTAAATTTTATAAAAATTAAATATTGAAATAAATCATATCATCTGTTGTAGCAAGCTCAGGAGAGATTCGGGACCAAACTTTGAAGCTGTCTCTGAAACTGATAGGCTACTACAACAAAAGGAGGAGGAAGTAAGGGTTCTTTACTAAACTCTATATTAATATTATTAAAAATAGCAAATACAAAGTTACAAATTAATTACTTTAAAAATTAATTTATTAATGACTTTTAATTTTTAAATTTACTTTATTGCTTTTGAAAATTAATTACTTTTTAAAATTTAATATTAATTTCATTAATTACCTTTTTAATTTTTTTTAAATAATAAATTTTTAAAATTGTTTTTAACTTTTAAAATTACTTTTAATTTTTTAAAATTTTTAATTAAATTACTCTTTAAAAATAATGAAATAATGAATGAAAATTATGAACCTCCTATTTAAATAAAACTTTATATCGATGTTATTCAACATTGAAAATAACTTAACTAAATTTATTAAAAATTTCAAGTTTTCTTTGTACAAAAAATATTATTTTGTTATTGTTTTTTTCATTTCTTTTCAAAAAAAACCCTTTTTGTTAAAAAATTGAAAAATAAAGTTGATTTTTATTATTTAGAAAAAAATTTTCATACCTGCAAATTAAGTGACTTTCAAGAATCAATATACGCAAAATAGTTTATCTTTTGCTTTAAATTCTCAAAAATTGTCAAAAAAAGTCTTCAAAATTTTAATTTATATTAACCAAGAAATACTATTTTATTTAAATAAAAAAAGAACTTTATATGAACATTATTTCGAATAACAAATTAATTGCAAAATTTTCTAATTAGTACACTCAAAGTAGTTTATTATTATTATTGTTACTACTTCTTCTTAAACTTAAAAATAATCGTTTTAGAAATTAACGTATCTATTCATAACAATTTCTTACGCTATAACTTATTTCATGTGTTTCAAATTAATGTATTTACAGGGTTCAAAAACTCTTAAAACTCAGAATGGTTGTAATATTTTCTTTGTTTACTTAAACTAAAAATTATCTTAACATTTATTTTCTTTCAACAGATTCGAAAAATGCAAGACATGCTTCAAGCAATGCAACAAAAACTGAGAGCTGCAGGCTCTGAAGGCGATGGACCTAAAGCAAGTGACACTCTGATAAACTTTTGATAGCATTTTACACTTCAAAAACTGTAACACTTAAATTCTTTTTTCACTTTAATTTTTCATGTGATATAAAAAGCGCACTTTTTTATGTACATAACAATAGATTTAAATTCACATATCATTTTGATAGAACAACTTTACATTTGAATAATTTTCTTTTGACTGCATGAAATAGCTGCCAACAAAGTGAAATAAAATACACAAATTAAAAGTTGTGTTTATGATAGGGACATTTTAAGGTTTTGAAAAGCACTCGAAAACTTTTTAGTGATTAAAGTATTTATCAGTAGTTAGAAACTTTTACGAAATAACCATATTTCTTTTATAATTAATAATTCGTTCATTATTATGGAATTGTGTTGTTATATTACAAGCAAATTCAGAACAGTTAACTGCTAGGAAACATATTATTTAATGCTATTAAGGCCTTCTAATAAATTTAAAATCCTATACTAATTATAGAAGAGATAATATAAATTTCAAAAAAAATTTTTAATTAACATTTTTTTAAATTAATAATATTATTTCTTAATTTTTTTAGCTGTGGCAACAGCGATGAAAATTCGTTTGTTATGAGAAATTATTGCTTTCAAATAGTGTTATTAAATAGTGCGTAATATTATTTGTGATATAGGGAGTGAATAAATGCTTGTATGAGTTTAAGAATAAGTGCGTTATTAAATAAAGGTGTGATTTAAGGAATAAGTGAGAGTATATATGGGATCATTCAAATTTCCAATTAAAAAAAAATCTTTTTCATTGTTTTTTCCTATCGTTATGGGATTGTGTTGTTATTATTCAAGGATTTGTGGAATAGTATTTTTTCCAACAATAGCTTCATCAACTTTTGACACTACTACATCATGTTTATGAATTTAAAAACTCCTGTCATTATGCCGAGAGGTTATATAGACTTCAAAAAATACCATTTAATTCATGTTTTAAGTTTGAAATGAAGCTTTGCAACAGCAATGGAAATTCGGACGAATTTCCATTACTGTTGCAATATGCTATAGTTAAATAATATTCCTTTATTTGTTCTTCTAAGTAATCTGTATTAGGATTCTTGATATAGCGATTGAATAAATGAGCGAGCTTATATTTGAATAAATGAGCAAGTTAATGATTGAATAAATGAGTGCGTTACTGATTGAATGATTAAATGAATAAATGAATGCGTCATTGTATGTGGAAGTGAATGAATAAGTGATGAAAAGAATCGAAAGATGAGGGAAAAAGCTATTCAGTAAGTCGATGTATTTGATAAATCGACTAAGAGGGAATATGACAAATGCTAAATGAGTCATTTTTAAAAAAAATTAGTTTTCGTTCCATTAACATTATTTTACTAATGAGAGAAATTTAATTATTTTAATTTAGAGCTGCCTGAGGCATTTTTAATCTCTTTTTGTTCTTGTGTAAATGTATTGTGTAAATGATCAGGTTTGTAAGCGTCAGTAATTTGTGAAAATTTTAAGTAGGATTAAAATTTTCATATTCAATGGTTAGGACAGTAACTCAATGGTTAAGTCTATCAGTGGTTAGAACTATCAGTGATTAGGATCCATTTAAGGTGTTAAGACTGACAATGATTGATTTCGAATATTATTTTCCAAATCAAACGATTTTAATCACGTAATCGTAACTGTAATTTGATATGAATGTGAATAATTTTTACCGATTCATTGTTATGAAGTAAGTATGAGTGACTGGGGGAGCATAATTGTTACTTCACTATTACATATTCACGCAATTCGAACTTGTTTCAATTATAATTGTGGAATCTCATGTACGCATTTTACAACTATTTTTAACGAGGTCAAAGAATTACAAACAGTTGGTTTCGCAAAACTGATTTTATTTCAATTGATTATTAATTAGTTCGCATAAAAAAGTTAAAAAACTTAAATTATTTTAAATTTTTTAAATTTCTTTTTTACTTAAATTTCCAATTTATAAAAATCTCTTCAAATATTTGATTTAGTTGGCAGCTATTGTATCTGATAGAAAACAGTGGCTGTTTCTTATTTTGACATTAAAGTCCTTTTTTGAGGTAATTGAAAAAATTTGTCTCACGTATACGCTCAAATTACAAGTTTTAAATACACTAAATAGATAGCTACCAATGGCGGGTATGTAGCATCTTTAGAACCATTGTTTTTTAACTTTAGCTCTCGTAAAATAATATCCACTACATACTCTATGAGCAATGCCACCAAAATCAGCGTGACAAAATTTAGAGGCTTTTGTGAAGAAAAATTTCACATATTAACATAACGCACATTCTATAAAAAACATAATAACATAAAATATTTTTTTGTGCTCTTAAACGTTGTTCACTTTAGTTGTCACATAATAACATATTGTAAAATGTGATAATGAAGATAATATAAGGCTAAATCCAGGTGGCGGTAGTGGTGAAAAACGCCCGGTGGCTTCCGGACAAAAACTAGAGTTTACGCGATCGGTTAATGTTTCATTCATCTGTCGCAGAGTTATTCTTTTACAGACTATTGTTTTCATTACTTTTTCAACTTTTGAAACGACAATTAATTTCATGAAAAGTTAATTTGATGTTAAAACGAATAGTGTGAATGAGAGATATCATTTAAAAGACAGCAACTAATTCATTTAATTTGTAATGTGTTTATTATCTTTAGTTAATCGCGATCAAATTAAAGTTATAAAGTGAGGAAAAAAATTTTAAGTCAAAATTTTAATCTTTATTTTAAAATTCTTAAATTCCGTTCACATTTAGCCTCATCAATAGAGAGATACGACGGAAATTATGGTCTGTTCCAGTTTCGGGAAGATTTGATGTTACTGCTTATACTCTGAATAATTTTAAATGGAGAAATAGGAGAACTGCGATTTAATCAAACATTTTATAAGAAACAGCCATTGTGATGAAATTTTTAAGATAATAAATGTAATTGAATTTCTACGAATCAAAAATTTAGATACAAACAAAAAAAAAAAGCACCCTACTTTAAATAACCTGAAATTAGCAACAACTTTTTTACTTACTGTGGCTATTTTTCTAGGAAGAAGGTGCAGAAATGAATTTTTAAAAAAATTCCCAACACGTTCACTTGTGTCACACTTTAAGTTTGAAGCAATTTTTAAAAATTTTCAACAACAAAAGAGGAAAAGAAAAATTTTGGAACTTTTTTAATTCTACTGTTTTTGTTTCAATATTTATTTCATTGCAATTGTTGTACAGAATTTTATTTGTAAGAATAGTTTTTGTTGCAAAAGTTTTAAGTGGCTTTCATATATAATGGTTAGAAATCTGATGTTTAAGTAGAATTTTTGTAAATAATATTGTAAACTAATATTTATTGTTAATGTTTTTTATATTTGTAAAAACTTAGTGCCACATCCGTAAATGTTTTGAATAAACTGTGTTATAATAAAAAGTTTTTTGAGTATTAAAAATGAAACATTCATTGTTATAAGCAATCTCATCATTGTTATAAGCATCATCAATAACTTGAAAATTTTCAAAGACGCACACACACACACACTGAATAATAAAGAACGTGGAACGTCAAATAACACCCTATAAACAGACTGTAGTTTCAGTTCTATAAAGTGGAAAGATTTATCTGTGGCCGAACACAGGATTGGAAAACAGAGCTGTGAAATTTACAAGACGCAGACAAAAAAAAAAATTAGTTGCAATAAGGAAGAAAACTGGTTGACCAACAGGTTACTGAGGACAAGAGTACAACAACAGGATACTGACGTTTGAATAAGATAATTAAACAAAGGAAAGTAGAAAATCCTTGGAGTTGAAGGTTGTAAAAATAAAAAGAAAAGAGATTTTAAATATTAAAAAACTACAGCATACCAGAAAGGTTTATGAATAAATCCTCATTTCTTTCTTCAATATGTGAAATGATTCCCAAAAGTCTAGGTTAGTGACTGAAGTATATTTAAATGCTAGAAAAAATAAATTCTACCCGATGATTATAAGTGGTGTAGGGTGATGGAAGATCGTTTAATATATTACTTTTGAAACATATATTTTATGTTTTTTTAAGTCGAATTTTAAGGATACGTTTATTTAGTCCATTAAATTAAGAGCTACACTGGCAAAAAATTGGGTAAATACTAATTTGTGTTTGTCATTAAAGGGCTTTTAAGGATAGTTACTTATGTGGTTTTAAATGATATTGTAAAAAATAACTTGTAAAACTAATTTTTTTTTAAAAAAAAAGGGGGAAAACATTAAGATTTTACGCTACTTTTAAGCAAATAAAAAAGACTTAAAACAAAACTTAAATAAATATATAAACTAAATAAATAAATAAGTAAAGTACATAAATTGATCGAGTTCAACTAATTCATGGTACATTATGGCCACAAAATAAAACATTTAAAGAGCAAAACTGTTCATTTAAAGAGCAAGATTACCAGCTTGTATTAAATGTTTAAATTACGCTGAACACATAAATATTTGGATACGTTAAATTACATATGAAATGTAAAATAGTAGAATTTGTGCTAACTACCTCATTTCGATAGTCAACTGTTTTACTCATCAAAAGTACGTATTTAATAATAAAAGAGAATTCATGTGATAGCTTCAGAAATACACTAACCATTGCAGAGACACCATTCAATAATTGTCTACACTTTCTAGGACTCAATCTAAATGATTCGAGAGGGTGTCCTCAAATATTCTAATTAATTAGTGCAGATAATATTTTAAGCTCAGAAATCAGACATGAAAACGTACCTTCTCTGAATAAATATACCTCTTTTTCCGATGGATTATAATTTCTGACCTCCAAATTATAGGGAGTAGTTGCAATCTGGAAATAGGGTCCCCATAGTTAGGTCAGGAGAGTGCTCCAAAGTTTGGACCCCTTCATGTTAATTTTACTTCTTGTATATTTCGCCATATTACGGGACATTTAAAAGCGAATTGAAAACTTTTTACACACAGTTATAAAATTAATTTATCCAAGGATAATTTTATGCAAACATAACTTTTGATTTTAATTTTGCGTATTTCGCTATATCTCGAGAAATTTCTAAGCGAATTTAAAACTTTTTACGCATAAGTGTAAAAGTTGATTATCCAAAGATAATTCCATACAAAAAATAACTTTCGGTAAATATTTACTATTTTTTTTATAATTTTATTTAATAAAGGTCAATAAGATGTTGAATTGTACGACATACAATTTTTTGCATCATTTTAAGGAACATAATATTACATGGCAAAAGAAAAAAACTCAGCAAAATCAGTTGAATAGTACTCAAGAAATTAAGTTTCTAAAAAGCCGAATATTTAAAATTCGATTTCTCAGGAAAAATTCAACCAATTTTGTTGAAAATGTGTATTTTTCCAAGTAATATTTTATTCTTTTAATTGAGGCAAAAACTTCTATACCTTACAATTCAAAAATTTTTCGATTAAATAAAATAATAAATATTTACTCGAAGGTATTTTTTCCGTGGAATTATCTTTAGAAAAACGAGTTTTATAATTTTAATTTAGAAAAAGTTTACTTGTTTAGGGGCTTAAATTTGCTTGAAAAGTTTTCGAGTTATTGTGAAATACGCAAAAAGTAAAATTAACATTTAGAGGTTCAAACTTTGGAGTGCTCTTCTGACTAAACTATTGGGACAACATTTTCCAGCTTGCGACTACCCCTTATATTTTGGTTTATTTTTGCACACAATTATTAAATTCATTTATACAAATAAAATTCCTAGTAAATAATAATTTTATGCAAATAATTATTCTTTTTTAATGAAGTGAAACCCCGATATTACACTTTCCGTTGGACTAGCGTCAGAAAACGCACGTCGCGAACGGAACAGTTACGTAAAATCGAGGTAAAAATATATTAGCATCTGATATTCAATTGACACTTATACTTTATTTATATACAATCTGTTTCTTCTCTTTTCTATTTTTTGCTAAACTAATGCAATAATTTCTAAATGTTCTTTTATACACAGGGAAATTTTAATAATCTATTTATTGATACCAATGCCAGATTTATTGCGTTTCAGTGTTTTATTTTCTAAACAAAGAATTAAACAAAATAATATTTTGATGTGCAATATGTAATTTGATTTTTGAAATGGAAATTAAAGTATTCGAAATCAATCAAAACTGTTCCTTTTTATCACTAAATTAGTTCGCCATTATGCATATTATTGGAATATTTTTATTTTCAAAAATTATTCGGTAGTAATAAGAAGTGAAGCAATAAGCGTTCTCTTCAATAGAAAGTCTATAATTTTCCTTTAAATCCTTCGCCTGTTGCCATAACAAAGAGATTTTTCGGTGTAAGGTTCGCATTTTTAATAATATTACTGTTTCGTTACAAAGAGTCTTTTTTTTTCTTTCAAAATTTAATCTGGATATTTTATGTTATAGTTAAGGTGATGTTTGTGATTACATCACTTTCACTTTAATCTGTTAGATTGAAAAAAGTGTTGAAAAAATTTATATGCTTTTAACTGTTTTATTACTTAATTCTCAATAGCAAACTGGTTTAGTAATAACTGTTATATCACCTGAACCTAAAAGGCACTTATAAACGAAATTTAAAGTAATTATTCAACTTCAAGAGTGGCCTATCGATGCACTTTATTCTATGGATACTCAAATTTTAATTTTTGTTTGGCTTTGACTATACCCTTTACATGAAAATGCTCGGAAGGAACATTTCGTCAATTGAGATAAATAGTACCTCAATATTGGAGGATACGAATGCATTAGACTTAAAGCAATAATATGAGAACCAAGTGATCACACAAGAGAGTGACGTATGAGATAGGAAGCAATTTCTTTAAATATTTGAGAGCTCATTTTGTCAAAAAGAACAACGTAATACATCTATACATCTCAAAGATTGCTGAATCATCAAAAAGTATAATTTAATTTCTGAGAGAGGACTATTAATTGTTGATCAACATTATTTTAAATTTAAAACACAGCTTTTAACGAAGCTATTATAAAAATGCTTAATTTTTCATGCTATTTAAGCAGTTTTGGCTCAATCATACATTCATTATGCTGTATGAACAAGCACTGTACAAACAACAATTTAATAATTAAAGTGATTTCTCTTACTTTAATATTTCTACTGCATCTTAGCTGCTTCTACATTTTATCTTTTGCCCTCTTGTTATTAATTTATTATTATGATAGATTAGTTTTAAGTGTTAAATCTTTCATAACAGCATTCCTTTCTCTTTATCTGTGGCACATTTTCAGGAAAGAGCGAAAAGTTTTATCTCATTGTATTCATAATCTGAAATGTTTATGCAATAAATTGAATATTAAATACGAAATTGGTTTCAGTTACGTAATTGTGATATTTTTGTTGATTTCTCCGATAATTGAAATTGTTTTAAGTGTTTACGTTTCCCCTTACAGCTCACAATTATTATTAAATGTTTCAAGATTTGATAATGTAAAAATTAAGCGTCTAGTAAACAGCTTTTACTTTTTATCTTACTTTCTAGTCGATGCTTATTTTCCGTTGCTGTTTACAATTTATCTGTGCACATTTCTGCAAAATTGTTCCGATATTCTAAGGAAGTACCGTAATTGCATGATTACATTGATGACTAATGACACGAAGAGTGAAAATGCTTGTGATTTGAATGACTTTTTCAAAATTTATCATATTTTGCAGAAAATCAAACTTGAATTTTCGACTCCATTTCTAATAATTGTTGCAAATTGTTCGTTGAATCTTTTCACTGTTTTATTCCTTTCACTTCGATATCAACAGCTTTTAATGGAATATTTGCTGAATTTTGTGTCCACAATTCTGAAACTTGTTCTTATTCGCAAATATAGTTGCAAGATATCTGATGAAATAATCAGCATTAAAGAAAATGTTTCGAATTTGATGGATCAACAACATATCATTGAATCAAGAAAGAAAAAATACACATTTCTACTACAGCGAATTGAGCGCAAAGAAGTATTATTCATGTCTGTGGGCGGAATGTTTTTAATTCAAAAGCATTTGCTTCTTTCTTTATTTGGACTTATCTTAAGCTATGGGCTGCTAATTTTAAGTTTAGATCCAAATAAGTATGGATAAACTGCAATGGAGAATGGAGAATAATGGCAATTGAATAAGTTGGCATAATTTCTGCACTGTTAGATAGATAAATAGATATATATATTAGATAAATACTCGAAAGAAGTGCTAACATAACAATTAATAGAAAATATTGGTAGTTGAATAAGTTGCCACAATTTCTACTCGGTCGGAAATTACTCGGAAGGAATGCTAAAACAACAATTAATATAGAATACTGGCAGTAAAATAAATTGACATAATTTCTACACTGTTTGAAATTACTCGAGAAAAGGCTAAAATAACAATTTGTTCTTATTTTACCGTGTTCAAGCAAAACAGGAAAACTGTTTATTAATTGTTTTCGCCTAATACGGTTAAACAGCCACAGTTTCATTCGAGGAAATAAACTCACAGCCTATGAAAATCAAGTGCGCGTTTTTCTAAAGTCTGTACGTTAAGTCATGTGATAAGAATGACGAATTCGTATTTTTCGTTTCGTTCATCGCATGCCTAACATAACAGCGTATATCTAATTCTCTTATAGTTAAAATCCGTAATAGTTAAATAGTTAAAATTCTCTTATAGTTATAAGTGGATGTAAACACTTTATGAAACCACTTAGTTCCTTGCAGCTGGGTACACACTTTAGCTGAGAGGGCTAATCTGTTAATCTTATGAACGAGGGTTCGAATCCCAGGATTGATATTACAATATTTCCTTCAACACACGAAGGCTTTTCCAGTGTTTTGCACTTCTCAATTGGTTGCTCTGGACCATTGGAATACGAAACTTTTATTCAGGCATAGATGGCTACACCACAGAAAAGGTCTAGTGTTACCCATCTTTCACGATGGATGGCCCCTATAGATAAACTAATAAAGCCACATTCCTCGGTCCATTTGACGAACACTATTCAATCACAACCTAACTGCAATGCCTTTTACCTAACAATGAACCTCCCATAACCTAACTCTAATGTTCCGTTAAATTTCTTTTTTAATGTTTTGAAAATATGCTGGTCGTAAATGGTTAGAAAACCATACAGTTTTGCTCTAACTATACCAGTTGTAAATGGTTTAAAACCTTTGGAGCTAAAGAAATATTCTTAGCATTAAACTTTTAGATTGAATGAATGAACAGGCTGCTGCCGATTATTTAACCGTTATTTTCGAAGGAAAATTCTAAAATTGTCAAGGAGAAGGGAAAATGTAGTAAAAATATTAAGTTGGCATTTTGATCATAATTTCTACCGTAGTAAGAACTAAGGAATAATACTTCGACTGTTGGTGCAATCATAAGGTGCACTCTGTCTGATGTACTTATAGTGTTAGAGCAATTTAAAAAAAAGGTGGGGCAATTTTTATGTTTTCAAACATGGAAAGTTTTTTTTTTATTACCGAAAGATTTTATTGTTATTTTAAGTCGTAAACTATTTCTAAGTGATAAGTGCAGATGGAATAGGTTAAATGGGTACCATTTATGAAGCATTATGAGAAGCGAATCAGTCAATTGGGTGAAACGATTCGTGTTAGTTGGCATTCTGACTGAAAGACAAGTTGGATCAGTTGGATTATGAAATTTTTTAAATAGTGATATTCTTGTAGACTAAAAAGAGGTCATTTTCGTAGCTGTCGGAAGACTGATTTTTGAATTCTGCAATATTTTATTGAGGCGTATATTGATACATGATAATGCTTAATGTTCAGAGTCAAGGAATTACATGTGAGATGTTTTTCAATGGATGAGGAACAAATACATTTTTTTAGATAAGTCAAGAAATATTGAGTCAAGGCAAGTGAAATTTTGTATGAAAATACATTCCAATATGACAAAAATGATGCAAACAAAAAGTTATAAGAGAAAACACAAGATCCCGAGTTAAAGGACATCACATCGCAAATGATGTAGAAGAATATCGCTTTATGATAAACAACGCTACATGAAGTTTTAAATACCCAATTAGAAATTTCTCGAAAAAATAGTTAAATAAAAATTTATTCAATTGTTATTTTGCCATATTCAACCAAAATAGTGAAATAAAACTTAGCAGTGACTATAAATAAGAAAGTTTTTAAATTGCTAACAATGATAAAAGTAGCTTATTAACTGTTTTTCTTCTTATACTGTTAAATAACTAGAATTTTGTCAGCACCAACTAGGGTCAATAAACCAAAGAGATTCCCGCTCAATTTCTACAAATGCTGGAAGCTAAGTGATGAGATAAGAAATACGAATTTGTATCTTTATTTTCATCACCGGAAGTGTAACACAACAGCAGATTCCTTATAATCTTATAATAATAAGTGTATGGTAAACAATTTATGAAACCACTTAATTTCTTGCAAATGGGTGCATAGTTTAGCCATGAAGGTTAATCTCTATCGCATGAGCCCAAATCCCAGCGTTTACACTGCGATATTTCCTTCATCGCATGAGAAGTTTCCAGTCTCCTGAACTCCTCAGTTGGTGACCCTGGACTATAAGAATGCAAAACTATAATTCGCGCATAATAATCCACAAATCTGAACATACTAACGTCTAGTAATTTCCATCTCTTAAGATAGACGGCAGCACTAGATAAACTAATGAAGCCTCATTTCGTGCTTCACAAGACAAAACACAACTCAAACACAATCTAATTTTAATGTCCGTTACCTAGTTTTTACGATTTTGAAACCATGTAAAGTTAGCTATAAAGCCGCATGGATCTACATGCATAGTATTTTAACCATACCATTTATAAACGGAAAGTTAAAAAATGTTTTGAAAAGCTCAAAATTAAAGAAATGTTCCTAACCGTAAACTTTACAGTTAATTTGATGAAAAAAATGTTGCCGGTAATTTTACGGTAGTCTTACGATGGATAGAAAATAAATTGCGATAAAATAGTTTTCGTTTTTAACACTTTATTGACAGATAGTACTTAAAAAAAAACACAGTTTTATTTTCTCAAATTTTTTAAAATAAACCGGTAGCTAATTTCTCCATTCAAATTTTCATGAGGAAACCACATAACGCATTGTTAATTTTCAAAAAAAAAATAGTTTCAAGTTTCCAAAAGTGTAAGATGAATTTGTCTCCATGCAGGTTCATATGTTTAACACTCGTAAAAATATACTGTGATTAAAAAAGATTTTGTTTTCTATACTACTATAGTACTATTTTACTATACTATTTTCATTTTCTCAAATATTTGGAATTAATAGAAAAGTTATTTTCTCATAAATATTTATTTAGGACATTAGTTTCCGACATAGCATAGTTTAAATATTTATATTTGGGGGGAAAACTTTTGAGTTTAGTTAACACGATGTGGTCCAAAATAATAAAATAATTTATTATTTGATGAAGAAAAGTTTTATTATTTTAAAGTTTAAAAGTTAAATTACATGTTACAATCTTTCTTACGAAAGCTGTTCGTTCAACACGATAAAAAAGTTATTTCAGAAAATAAGGGGGTGAACAAGCAATAAGTTAATTTTATAATCATTTTACAAATAAAATATAATACAGCACTATACTGAGTTTAAGAGATTTTATAATTTTCAGAGAAGAAATAAATTGTATAAAAAAAGCTACATAGACTGTGATTTAAATATTTTTAATAAATATAGTTTCACATATAAGGTATAAAGATTTAAAGTATTAAAAAGCATTGAGTATATGGATTTATGTATTAAGTCATTATAATGAGAGAAAAAATATGGCCGAAATTATCAGAATATTATAAAATTTGCTATGTTTCAGGCTCTATGAGAACACAAAAAACTCGATAAATTTTTCCGAGGTGCTTTGGTAATGATTTTGGTAACACTAGCGATAAAATGTTGTTTTATAATATGTGATAAAATTTGGTAATTCTATCATGATACATTAGAGCATGACATAAAAATAATTTATTCAGTTAAATTTATTCTCAATTTTTTTATTTTATACTAAATGCGTGGCATCAGAACTGTAATTTTAAAAGCAAGAATTTCCAGTAAACCATTTCCATATGAACGGAAAATTTTTCCAAATGAATGGTTTCGTGGGGGAGAGAGCTGTTATCAACAATGTCAACCTTCCTCTATGAAAAGGTACCCAAACATAGAATCGAGTTAACATGTCTTATATACTAGTGAATTGGTATTATATTTTTGTAGTGGTAGATACACTACAGTACTCCCCCACCAGAATTATATCTGTGATAGAATTCGATGTATGGATACCACTAGTTGAGTCATTGCTGTTTTTTTTTTGTGCGAAGCCAGGAGAGCTGTATTAAGATCACTGAATTTTTTTTTGTTGATCGTGAGAGCTGTATTAAGTTCATGGTCGCTCCTGTGTTGCCTTCTAGCAGTCGAGTGTGTGCAAGCCGACGTTGTGTATGATCGAGACGAGACTGAGCAGCAACAGTGCGAGGAGTTGGTTAATGTCACAGTCACAAGTAGCAAGTCAACTGCTCAATGTCAACCATCCATCGAAGTAGGCGTGTTCAGATCGAAGAGGGCGTTTCTGTCAAGGTACGCGTGTTCACATCACGTCCGAAGATCACCAATGAAGGGACAGTTGTAATCGACAATGTCAATCTTCATCTATGAACTGGAATCTTCATCTAAAAACGTTTCAATTCAGGTGAAGATCAAAATTAATTTGAATTTAATATAGGATTTAGAAGTAGAACATTTGATGTTAACTCTGTATAATTAAAAATTAATAAATAAAATGATATTTATGAGTAAAACACTATATAAATAAACTGAATACGGATTGGTATAATAATTTTATTTAAAATTTCATAAGAGTAATAAGTTGTACAATTACACAGCACATTGTCATTTGAACACTTTTTCTTTACTTTTCAAGTGATAAATAAGTCGAAATTTATGTCTAAAAGGTTTAGTAACTGAGCTATATATCATTTCATAACAAAAATACATAGCACAAAATGATTAGTAAACAAAATCTACTCTATCGAATGAGAAATATACAAAACAATATTGCTGAAGATCTAGAAAGGATTCTTTATCAAGTGAATGAAACTATTTCTAATTAATGCTTCTAAGGAACGATTTTAAATGCAAAATCTTGGTATTCTTCTATGATGAGAGCTATATGAGTACAGCGCAAAATAAAGAACCCTATACCATGAAAAACTTTTGGCCTAGAGATCGATTTTTTATGTGCTGAAGAGCACTATTTTAAGAAGTGAGAATCCCCTTTTTGACCATCTAATTATTAATGAAGGTAATAATTTATTTTACGAAATAAGACATAAATTCTTGCATTAACTGAAAGTGAATACTTTTTTCCACTGGTTTCAAATTTCCATTATCTGTGATAATTGGCTTCCATAGGTTTAATTAATCATTATTTGTAATGAATGCATTAGTCTACATACGAATGTAAATAGAGTCTAAACTATTTTGTCATCAGTTGAGCTGAAAAGTTTGGGCCCTCTATAAAATAAATTTACTTCTTTGTTGAATTCGCTATATCTTTGGATCTAATTGCACGATTATGCATTTAAATTCTGCATCTAAAAATTGCTTAGAAAAAAGATAATTTAGCAGCAAAAAAAGCTTACATATCAAGTTTATAGTTATTATAATTTCTTCATAATTCGCTATACGTGTGGATCGAATCATGTGAATTCAAAAATATCTTTTAACATACTTATAAAATCATTTAACAAAACAATATTTTATATCAGAAATATTTCTTACTAATTTTATACTTATTATTATTATTTGATATAAAAATTTAATTATAAAGAATGAATTTTCTTAAATACTAAAAGCTATCCAATTTTAAAATATAAAATCTGAAACTTAAATGACACCGAAGGAATAGCTTCAGAATTATATAAATTCAATACGTTTTAATTTTAAGTTTCTATTTTTCAAAAACAATAAAACCAATTTCGTTCAAATTATAGATTTTTTCCCCTTAGATTTCTTTCGTTCAATTAAATGTAAAAATCGTCATACCTTACAATTTGAATTTTTGAGACAATAATTAAATTAAATAATTATTAAAAAAATTATATTGTGCATAAAATTTTATTCTCTTAATTTACTGTTAAAGATAGAGACAAGTAACTTTTAGTTTACGAAATTATTACCATATTTATGGAAGAATATGGGGCACAAAATAAATTTAGAATTAAAAGATCCAAGCTATTGATTGGTTTACTTACTTAACTGAAGGGAGCATATTTTCCAGAATTCTTCAATTCCCCATACCTTGAGAGTCAAAATACAAATCCGTTTAAAAAAAAATTAAAAAAAAATTGAATAGTTATTTTGGTAAAGTACGTTACTATATCTGGTTTTGCAGAATTTATTTACACATTATTTCATTTACGTACTCCCTTCTAATGATTAGTGCGTAAAAAGTTGACTATTAGATTAAAAATTGTTAATGTTAGGACAATTTTCATTTTGCGCGCTGTACTCAACATTGCCCTTTACAAAGAACAATGAGTTGCCAATAAAATCAGGGGAAGCAAACTCCTAACCCTCCATCTATGGGTAAACAGACTCCTGTTATCATTGACGCATTATCACTCAGAAGGAAAATAACAGGCTTTATAACATCAGACACCTCTAAATAATTCAGAAAGAGTAAAAACAGCATATTAATTATAAAACAATATACAATGAATGACACAAAAACAAAAATAATTACATGGCTGAAAATTGAAGAGTTTAGTGAATGAGGAGTTCGGAACTTTATTATCGTCACACTAGAGCTGCATGAGGGGCTATTGGCTTCAGTTTTGGAAACATCCCCGAGGATTATCCGAAGACATGCCATCACAATTTTGATCCTCTACAGAAAAGATGGCTTTTCCGCTTCGGTAACCAAATAAACAGCGCGCGAAGTCGAGCACTATTCGGCAGAACAGTTTAACGAGAACCGATACCGCACACCCTCGGCCCCTTCACAGACTAATCAAAGTCGTCACTTATTGACAGCAATCAGTGATCCTTGCCTTTGGTGTTCCACTGAGAGCAATGTCTTTGCGATCAGTCCATTGAGGGACAGTTTAATTAAGGAAAGTTGTAAGCAAAATTTTCAAAAAAAATTGAGTTTTCTCGTGGCAGAATAGAGATTCATTTTCAATTTGTTTAACCATACAGCATCGATTTATTTTGCTAAATCATTAAGTTTCAAAAATCTCAAATAATGAAGGTACTAAATGACAATCCCTCGTTGTCGAAAAAGATTATTACGCGTGCATTTGGAGTCAAACAGTTGACAACAATCTTAGGAAGTTTTTTTTTTTTTTTTTTGTAGACGGTTGGTCCGAAAGATATTTAAATACCAAACGGGTGAGTGTCAAGACGCGATTAGTTAGAAGAGGAAGTGGTGGTTTCGCTAATTGGAAGCTTAGAAGAGTCTCTGGTCATCACACATGCTGACTTTTCCCTTCTCCGATCCAGTTGCTTGACAGTAAAAACTATGATATCTATTACTTTTAAGAAAAATCTTGTAAACTTTAATATCTTCATTTCACGATAAATTTATTTTGAAAACTTGAGAAAATTAGACAAGATGTTTTGGAAATTAAATGCACTGCATTCGTTTAAATTTGCATAATTTACAAGAGTTATCTGGCAGTTAAAAGAAATTTCGACAGTTAGACATGCTACACACTGAAGATGCAAGCGGTAAAAAAGAAGAGTGTTAAATTCCTATGCAGATGCGTTGAGGAGGTCTTCGTCGCATGCAATTGCAAAAGCATGTGAATGTGCCTCTCGTATGCCCCTTACTTAATGCTTGCCTCTTCAGTGTCTGTTTCAAGAGTCAATAATTGTAGAATAACTTACCAGCAAACCTTCTCAGAGGCGTTCTCTCTTTCATACGGTTTGCGAACTCATTACTTGGATCGAATAAACCCTGGCTTTCAGTCATTCTGGTATGAATAACAGTAGGATTGACAGAATTCACACGAATCTAGATGGAAATAAACAATCACAAATTTTAATATTTAAACAACTTCCAATCAAATTAGAGTTATGCTTCTGTCGAAGTTATGGATAAAAAAAATTATTTCTGAGTTTTGGTCAGAAATATCTTTAAATGCATGTGAATCGGACCCCAAAACAGACTTTCTCTAAATAAATTTCAGTTTTATTTCGGGGGAGGAGGGATTTGATTTTTTTCTCTCTTAAAATATGAAAAAGGGGAAGTCATAATTTAAAAAATATCGTCCAAAAATTGGTTAGACAGGAGAAAGGACAAAGGCTTGGTTCCCTAATAGCTATTTTACCTTTTATAACAATTACATAATTTTATTATAATTATAGTGACATAAGTCATAAGTATACTTCTAGTGTGGATCCCTAGAGCTATAGTTATACAAATAAAATTACTTTCACCAATTGACGAATCTTGTTTAACCAAAAATAATTGGAAAAAAGCGAGTATTTTTTAATATTTTTTCTAACCACAAGTAAGTGGATAAGAGAGTGCGCAAAAATTAGTGTAACTTGCAATTGAAATATTATTTGAAATTTAATAAATTAATCATGGATATTTAATTTATATTTTTTGCATCTCGTTGAGAAAATGAACTTCTTAAATTAATTGACAATGACGTATGATCGAGAATTAATCAGCAATAATGTATAATTAATTCTCGAGATGCGTAGGACGAAAATGCAAGAAGTAAAAATAATTTTAACCAGCAACGCGCGAACTGAGTGCGAATTAAAATCAGGGCAAATGGTGCTATTGAAAATTTTAGAAAAAACTTACTACTGAGATTTTTTTCAAAATTATAACACATAGAAAATACATTTTTTAATTTTTTTATTTTAATTGACGCGTAGACGTCATACGTACAGTAATAGAGATTTGGTCAAATGTGTATACGAATCGCAATAGAGATTCGGTTTGACGAGTATACGAATCGCAATAGAGATTTGGTCCGACGTGTATATACCCATCAAACGCACTTAACTGGTTCAGAAAAACGCAATTAACAGGATAAGAGGCCAAAACATTTGACAATTCTCAGAACTACAGTAATGAAACTATATTTTTCAACTTGTTGGGTAATGTTGCTCGCCTCCCGTGACTTAGGTTCACAGGTGTCTAAGGGATAATGTTAAATGAGCAACACTTCCAGCATCCTCCAAGGTGAGGATGGAGTGTTCAGTACCTGACATGAAATTTTTTTTTTTAACTTGCTTCAAATTCAGAACCATATTCCAAAATCAGTTTAGATAGAGCCACGCAGATGGCCGTAGTTCGATTCCCGGCCGATACACATTTATATTTTAACTGATGAAAATATTTTCTTTATTAATTACGAGAGAAGTTTTAATTCGTTTTTTTAAACAGTATATGCAACCGGAGTAATCTCTATAGAGTAAAGAATAAGAAGAGTAGGTATCACATCGCAAGTGAAAGCCAGGTGATCGCAGCTAATAATTTGAAATAACATGATTCAGTTGAACGCTCTAAATGAACGGCAAAATAATTTATTACATGTCGGTAAGCATCGGTGGTTCAGTGGTAGAATGCTCGCCTGCCACGCGGGCGGCCCGGGTTCGATTCCCGGCCGATGCATATTTCTTTTTTAACTGATGAAAATATTTTCTTTTTTAATTACGAGAGAAGTTTTAATTCGTTTTTTTAAACAGTATATGCAACCGGAGTAATCTCTATAGAGTAAAGAATAAGAAGAGTAGGTATAGCATCGCAAGTGAAAGCCAGGTGATCGCAGCTAATAATTTGAAATAACGTGATTCAGTTGAAAGCTCTCAATGAACGGCAAAATAATTTATTACATGTCGGCAAGCATCGGTGGTTCAGTGGTAGAATGCTCGCCTGCCACGCGGGCGGCCCGGGTTCGATTCCCGGCCGATGCACATTTATTTTTTAACTGATGAAAATATTTTCTTTATTAATTACGAGAGAAGTTTTAATTCGTTTTTTTAAACAGTATATGCAACCGGAGTAATCTCTATAGAGTAAAGAATAAGCAGAGTAGGTATAACATCGCAAGTGAAAGCCAGGTGATCGCAGCTAATAATTTGAAATAACGTGATTCAGTTGAACGCTCTCAATGAACGGCAAAATAATTTATTACATGTCGGCAATCATCGGTGGTTCAGTGGTAGAATGCTCTCCTGCCACGCGGGCGGCCCGGGTTCGAGTCCCGGCCGATGCATATTTATTCTTTAACGCATAAAAATATTTTTATAAGTTAACCTGCTCCCATCCCCAGTAGTGGTGAGATGGAGAGGAGAGTGCAAACTTGTTACAAGAACCTGTCTTGTTGAGCCGCTAAATGTTGTTTTTCCCTTTATACGAGGAGTCCCTGATACGAGGGAAGCATGCCTAAGCTTAGGTTTAACCATAGCTGGTTTAAATTACGCCAGTGAAAGCTAGAATCTTTCCCTTATGTATATCCTTTGCCCAACACAAGAAATTCTAGGGGGGAAAAAACGCAGTGATTTTTGCGACAGTTTAAAGATATGGAAATGAATTCGCTAAATATTCTGTAATATTCATTCATTAAATTTCGAAATTATTTTTCAATGATTACGTAGTTTTAAAAAAATCCGGAACAATGTTTCCTAAATAGTTTGTTCGTTTTTTTTTAGTGAATAGAGAATATTAATTTTATTAATAGAAACAAATCGAAAATTAAAAGTTATTTACTTTATGTGGTCCAAATTCACAAGCCATACTTCTGGTCACCTGACCCGCTGCACCTTTACTGGCACAATAAACGCCGTATGCTGGACCCACTTGCAATCCTAGCATGCTGGATACGTTCACTATCGACCCTCCTTCACCCCGTTCTTTCATCTGATTGGCTATTAACTGCAATAAATTTATTCATTTAAAATGATATTCATATTATTGACTTATAAAATAAATGTACGGGTTTTTACTTAAGTGCAAATTTAAAAAGAAATGTTTACTACACTCTTACCTGACTTATATTAATAATTGCTTTCACGTTTATGTCGAATGTCCTAACAAAAAAGAATTTCATGAATAAATAATGCATCAAATAATGATAATATGCATTACATATAGTAAGAGAAGTATATAATGTCATAAAATCATATTTTTGTCAAGTGATAGATGTATTTGTATGCTTTATATTTTTACACATTAACGAAATAAATATGAGAAAAATTGTTAAATATTTACATGCAGTAGTTTCAGTTTGAAAACTTTTTAATTTTCCAGGTTTTTATACAGGAAAAAAAGCTAATAAAAACAAATACCATTGGCATTGTTATTACCAATTTTAATATAAATTTTTAAAAACCTTGTAAAAATTTACATAAGGGGTCACATATGAGCTAAGAATAAACAAGAAAAAGAAAGTTATCAAAATCTGACTATAGAATAAGTTGGGATTAAACCAGTTTGACAGCAGGAGGCAATTTCTTCAGACATTTTCATAATATAATTATTTCAAAGCTTAAGGAACGTTTTTATTTTTTATTTTTTTAAATATTTTTTTTTATTTCCAATGAGCTGCACAATCGGTCTTGCTGATGAGCAGACCTAGTGCGTTCTCCAGAGGTGGTATCTACTTTTTCAGGACCACCACAATGGGTGAGATACCGTTTGTCATGTTAATTTGGACGTCTGGTTTCTGCCACACTGGATGACAGCACCGAGACTCTATTTGGATGCTAAAGTGCAGGTCCAGGGGTCTTTTACATAAACATACGACATGGCCGCTGATGATTTTCTGCATCCCGAAAATCCGGTGTCTGGGCCGGGGATCGAACCCGCAGACTTGGGCTCATTGGGCTCAGATGTCCGACAACAAACCAACTGAGCCACCCAGCCACTAAGGAACGTTGTATTCATAATGAGGAGGATTTTAACGATTGTTTGCAGAACCACAGTACAAAAAAATTTTAAGGAAAAAAAATGGTACTAGCACAGATTAACTTCAAATAAATTTATTTAGCAACTACAATACACTCATGATAGAACTGATAGAACATTGTAGTTAAGTTGTATTAAACAGTGGTTTACAGCTTTTAGATAGCTTTTTTAGGGTACAAATATAATCTATTTTGACAACTATGCAGACTAACGTATGGCATTTTAGAGTTTCTTGTGACAATTAGTCACAGTTTTTTCAGCAACGCAGTTTTACTAATTGTTTACCAGGGTTGGTTGCAATCTCCAATTGTTCTCTCCTGTAAGTCCCATACATGCTCAATATTACACGTTGAGGATATTTTATTTTTATTTTATTACCGCCGTTAAATAGCCGACCCAAGTTTTGGGTTTACGACTACCAATGTTTAACGCTGTATCCTTGCAATTTTTGAACTCAACCCGGAAAACAAGTGAACTCCTGGATCAAGTATTGGGAGAGATGTTGCATTCATGGAGGACTTTTTTGATGGAACAAACCATTTTCGTTACATGGAGAGGAAGACCACGAGAACATCCCATGGTTAACCTGACAGCAAGGGGACTCAAACCCATGATCCGTCTACCACTGAGGATATTTTACGTCAGCACTGTGGTTGGTGCAAGTCGGATGCGAAATTCGTTTCGACCATGTTGAGGATATTATTTTATTGCTTGTTTTATCTTAATGTAATTATTATGAGAACTTATAATTCTTAGAATTTTTACCTGTCAACTCTTTGATCGCTGATATTTCTGAACTCTTTAACGTCCATCAGCATTATTTACCAAGAAATCAATTTTACCCACATTTTTGAGTATCTCTTTTATCTTATAATGAAATTATTATGACAACTTGTTAGTCTTAGAATTTTTACCTGTCAACTTCTTGTTCGCTGATATCGCCGTACTCTTTAACATCCATGATTGCAGCATTGTTTACCAAGAAGTCAATTGGACCCACATTTTTGAGTGCTTCCTTAGTTGCACTCCACTTGCCAATGTCCAAAAGGAGAGTTTTGATCTTTGGACTCTACACAAAAAATAAATAAATTTGTTCATTAAAATTTTCTTATTCTGAATACGAATGCAAATTTTTTTTAAAATTTTATTTCAATTGCTATGAATTAACATATTATGTACCTTCATTAAATTATTGTTTTAAAAATATTTAAGTTTATATCATGGCTCCTATGAAGGACCATCATGAATAATATAATGGTTGTTATCAAAACCTTTCATCAACAAAAACCATCTAATTCTTGACGGTACCATCAAGACTGACCATTCCTCCATGTTAGGAATTGGAGCGCGAGAATGTACGAAATTCTAAAATAGCCAAATTTGATGATTTTAAGGATCATTAATTTGAAATCCAGATTGATGTCAGGAATATAAAATGCTTACAGTTTTAGTTAAAGCATCTAAATCAGATTGCGTTCTGCTAACAGCGAGCACCTCAGCTCCAAGCTCAGCAAGTTTCAATGTTAAAGCTTTTCCAACACCTGTTCAAAGAAAAAGAAAAACACTTTTAACAGCATGTATGAATGATTGACCGAATGTAAACAAGTACAGGCTTCCAAAAACCGGAAGAAATTTAGAAAACTTCCGGAGTATCCTTCCGCTTATGTTATCCTTACGAGGCGATGTGTGAACAGGCTTAATACAGTCGGACTTCTTTTTAACGAACTTCCTTTTTGCGAATTTCTCTATTTTGCGATTTTTTTCCGAGGAACCAAGAACATTTTGGAAATTTCTTCGTAAAATAGCTTCCAAATAGCGAAGTGAATTTTCTGTTTAACGAACTTTTCTTTGAGATCCCCTTACCCTGTTTCCCAAAGTATTTCAAAACATTCCAAACTTGTTAACGCATTTCATGGGGGAAATAGCCATAAATTGATTTTCGAAGCTTCTTAACTTTCAGAGAAAGCAATAAAATCCCTTTCCTTTTTTGTTTGCATTTCGAATGAAAAACTCTGACAAAATGAACGGATTTTATCAGTAGCAACTAAACTTAAGAACGCATGTGGTAATGTACGTTTGAAATTACTTTTATAATAAATGCAGATATAATTTCATGCATAAATTTAGCTTTTTTTTTTAGTTGAGAATGTATCTCGCGTGATAGTGTAACACTGGATAATGTTTTGCTTTATTCTTGCTTTCCGTGCAGATTTCTTTCATGGTTAAGATTTATAAAATAAATAGTAGATACCAGTTACAAAATAAAGGTGTATCAATTGTTATTTTAATTATGCCTAGTGTTTATGAAAATGTGTGTTGAGTTGTACTTCAAAAGGTAATTTTCTATTTTACGAATTTTCTATATAACGAACATATTATCGGTATTTAGCGACTTCGTTAAATAGAGGTCCGACTGTATTTATTATCGTGATGTGTGTTTAAATTTACGCGTAATTTTACCAATCTTAAGAGTTTTCTGTAATTTATAAATTCCAACAGATCGTGAGAGTAAAACAAATATGAGAAAATTGATTTCACAGCCATAAATAAAGTGTAAGGTTTACCATGTTTTGAGCGTTATCCTTCATTTGGCTATATTTGTGTCCAAAAAAAATCACCTTTTATTTTATTTTTGATGGCATCATTGTAAGCTTGTATAGTCTCCGAATTCATTTGTTGTTCGTTTAGTTGAAATTTAAATTGAAAGAACGCGTTATATTGTAAACATTACGAGTTATTACACTCGTAATGTTTACGGGAGTATCGGATGGCGGTACGGATTACGGGTGTAACGGAATATCGGATGGCGCGCTTTTCAAGCATAGGCGTGAAAATCAATTGAAAGTAGTAACTCGGAAGTCTTACGACTAATTTTAATCACTAGCGCCATCTGTGCTTAGTTTTACAAGCTCAACCATCCATAGTTTTAATGAAGTCAAACAGGAGATTTCAGCAAAGTTCTTTTTATGTAAATGACTGCATACATAACTTCGTAAAACTCAAAATATTGTTCAAGAAAGAATATTTTTGTTTCAATATTCAATATTTTCTAAATTCAGACTGAGCCAGTCTCAGACAAATTTTTATCTTAGCACTCAATTTTAAAGGCAAAAATAATTTTGCCTAAACTGATATCAAAGTTGAGTAATCCTAAGAAACTGAAGTGGAAAGATGTTATTGTATCTCGGGATCTTTTCGGATATTGGTTTGAAAAATCGGTTTGGCAAAAAAAAAGTCCTTTAAAGTAAAATTTACTGATAGGACTTTTTAATTACTAATGTAACTATAATTAACAATAGCAAATGCATGTACAATCTGGTTTTCACAAATTTTCTTTGTTTAAAATGTTAGCAAATGTTTTATTGGACATTTTAATCACAAATTCAACACGATAACATTTTCGTCAAATCTTAAAAATTCCTCAAAACGCCCAAAATCTAAATGTGCAAACATGCAAAAGGTATAAACTCAACCAACTCTGACACCATCAATATGATTTTATACTTAAATATTATTTCAATTTTTGAATGCATAATTTTAAATCTCGAAATATTTGAAATTCTGCTTTTTTAAAAATGCGGACCAGCTGATCGCTGGTGGCGGCTAGTTATAATTAAAGGGCCAAAAATAATTTTACTCGTAAGGCACGTGGCTTACTTTGTTTTCAATTTTACTCTCGGAACTTATTTTTAAAATTATTTAAGAACATAGAAAACAAAAACGAATGCATCAAAACGATTCATTAATCAGGTAAAATCTATTTTGTATCCATAGTTACAAGGAAAAACATAAAAAAGCTTTTTGCGTTTAAACATGCAACTAGATACATTGTATACATGAAATCCAAGGTTTATTCCAAAGTAAACCAAGAAAGAAAAAAAACCGAGTTGTTAAAAAAATAATAACAAAAATTATACTCGTGAAACTCATTAAATTGTACAATTTATGAGTTTTTATTTTTCCACGAAAAAAAACAATTTTTTTTTAATCCATTATTATCCATTTAGTTGTGTAGTTAACATATTTTTACGTAGTTTTTGAGCCGGGATAAGTTTTAGCATATTTTAAGAGAAATATTATTCACCATCGAGCTTCTCACGGTATTTCGTTTGTATATTCATAAGGTTTATAAATTTTTTGAAACAAATTTAAAATTCTAGTAAAGTATAAACTTTTATTTAACATTTAATTTCGCCATTTTATTTTTAAATTTCAATTAAATCGAAATTAAAATTATATTTTAGACATTAAAATTTAAAATTAATCTATTTTTAAAACAATGCGTTTCAGCAATAATTAGGTACTTGCACTTCAAGAAGATCACGGATACCTACACATGTGACCTATGACGTCAACGATAGGTGATCATTTATAAGCAAATTGGTGTGTTGAAGTTGAGCTAAGTTTTGGTCACATAAGATAGAATGTTAATTAACATGAAGTTAATTAAACACAGCGTCGTATCTTACACCGAATTTGTTGAAATATACTCCTTTCTTGTCTGCGTCTTTAACAAAACTTAGATTTATTATTTGTTTATGAATTTTATAATAATCTTGGTAAATTTTCGATTTGTGTACTTAGCAACTTCGATGCATACTTAGTTTATGTTCTACATAGCTTCATACCAATCCTTGTGCGATGTGAGAAGTATATAGTGAAAGAAATGAAATCTTAGTGAAAGAATCTTTTTGTAAGAATGAAGAATGTGTCGCTTAATATTTGACGGGCTTGGCTTACTCGAAAGAGAATAGAAAGAACAGTTGCTAACGTAAGCAAATGCCACTTTTCAACAACCAATCAAGATCTAAATACCCAAAACTACGTCACTTGCAGGTATGCCATTAAGCTAAAGATTTAAAAATTACAGAAAGATGATATAAAAATTTTAAAAACAATGTTTATCAAGTAGATTGGAAAAGAAGAAGTAGCATTATTTTTGACAGATATAAATTTAGCACGCATCAAGATGTTGGGAAAAATTTCAGTGATGATAAAAGTTATATCGGGTCCATATTTCCCAGATTGCAGCTATCATCTAAATTTTGGGGGGGGGGGTCAGAAATCCGAATCAGTAGAAAAAAAGGTATATTTATTGAGAGGAAATACGTTGAATCTAATTAACTTAAAATATCATTACTAATTAATTAACATATTTGAGGTAACCTCCTCAAAACATTGCGATCGAGTGAAGATCCGATCGTTAAATCAAAAGTTATTCAGGGTAGTGCGTTTATTTTTTTGCGCACTATACAATAAAAAAATATTTGATTTATATGTAGCTAAACTTTCAATTTTTCAATAAGAAAAGCAATAGTTTCGTAACACGTAATTTACTATAAATAATCTTTATCTGCAGCGACAAGTGCTAAAAGATAAATAAATAAAGTGATACATTCGATTACAATTTAGCGACGTCAAGTAAGTACAATTAAGTACAATTAAGCACAATTAAGTACAATTAATTACAATTAAGTACAATTAAACACATTAACATACTTCAATTTTGGTTCATCAAATCATCGTCAGTGCTCAAACCCATATCTTTGATTGAGGACACTGATGAAGGTTTTTTTACATTACAGAACCGAAACTATATTGTTTATGTGTTACAATATGCACTTTCCTTACGTTGTTCATATTTATTCATAAAAGCACAACGTTTGCCAATTTATAACTTGAAATCGATAAGTTTTATTGAAAAATACATTTATTAGAAAACATGCAGAGTATTAATAAAATGACAACAAATGTTCCGATAAAAAATAATAGACACAGTAACAATCATGACAAAATCGCAATTTTACATTTAAAAAAAAACTAATTCTCTAGTCTGAAATAGTTATTTTAAATTCTTTAAAATTTACATCTGAATCATACCTATACTTTAGAAAAATTATGATCAAAATATATCATAAAAGAATTATACAATTTTGGGTGAATTCAGAGTGTTCCGTAATTGCCCCCTTTAATGCATATCTTTAGAGTCTTTTTAAGAGATAAAAAACTGTGGATCAAGTTTTATTTGAATAAAAACTGAACAACTGAATAAAAACGAGTTTGTCAAAACTCAAAAGAACGCGTTTTTTTTAGTTTTTTATTTTTTTTAATTTTTTTTTCGCTGTCCGGTTTATTTATGAAATATTTGGATTTTTATTATAATTTTTTTAAACCTTTCTGAAAACAACGATGAAGAAAGCGAAAGTTGATATAAAAGGAAAAAAATTATTACTTTTTAAGCAGCCAAAAGATTTTCTGAGTTTATTATATTCATATTTTAAAAAAGTCGTGTATTTAAAATTCGATTTCTCACAAACTATTCCACCGATTTCGTTCAAAATTTGTATTTTGCCAAATAAAAATACATTCTTTTTAATGGGATTTAAATTGATACAGTTTACAGCTCAAATTTTTTTTACGACAAGTATTAAATAAATCAATAAGAAAAAAAGTATTTATCAAAAAGTATTTTTTGTATATAATCACTTTTAGCGAATTTTAAAATTGAGCACAAAAATTTTCTCGATTTGCTAAATCTTTTTTCGAGACATAGCAAAATAAGCAAAAAGTAAAATTAACCATAATGAGTCCCCACTTTCGAACGCTCACTCTTGGGACCTTATTTTCAGATTGCAACCAAACTTTCCTTATGTTGGCAGTCAGGAATTCAAATTCGTCGAGAAAAAAAAGGTATTTTTATTTACAGTAAGTATGTTTATGCAAATTCTTTGGTTTATGTGTCTGATTTCGCGGTTTGGGTGAAAATTTTCTTCGAATTCGAAACTTCGCTGACCCATAATTTTGCGCGAATAAAACTTCATTGATCTGTAAGTTAGCAGGTACAAGACTTCAATGGTCTTCATAAATCAACCTAGAGCAGGGATGGCGAACCTTTATACACCAACGTGCCATTTTTTCTAAAAAATTGTTTCATGAGGTCATAGACGTGCCGGCAAATAATTTTGAGTTCGTGATTATTGGGAAAATAATAATACTAAATACTATCAACTCAAAAAACTCTTTATTTACATTGAAAGAAAAAAAACACTTTGCCAAGTCTTAAAAGAACTTAAAGTATCATCAATGTGACTTCTGTTGATGCAGATTCGATGACAAATAACTTATATTAGGTTGTAAGATGTTAGTTTAAGCAGGATTATTAATGTTTTTTTTTGCTTGTTATTCATTGTTAGCTTGCTTTTTATGGTTATTAATTGTTTTTTTAGCATTAATTATTAATTTTTTTATTAATAATTGTTTATTATTTTGTTTGTTTTTTGTGAATTTTAATTTAATTGTTACATATGCTTCATAGTGTAATAACATTTGTGTAATAACAATTCATAGTGTAATAACAATTGTGATCGGTGGCGTGCCCAAAATATTGTGTCGCGTGCCATTGGTCCGCTATCCCTGACCTAGAGCTTGGTACGCAGGTCTACAACTAAAAAAAAAAAAAAAAAAAANAAAAAAAAATGAAATAAAAAAAAAAAATTAAAGGAGGATCAGGGGGGAGGGGAGTAGATTATGCAGAGAGAACATTTCGGCCATTTCCTTGAACAGATTAATCACCCGAATGACGGCTGGCACCCGACCACAGTGGTGACATCTTAGAGTGACATAAAATATCCTCAGTGGACGTGTTAGTCAGATCATGGGGTAGAGTCCCTTTGCTGTCGGGTTAACTGTGGGAACTTTTACGCAAATTGATGCAGGATTGCTTATATAATTATTATAATAGCTTTAATCACTATTTTATTTATAAAAATTGCAATACCAAATCACAAATATATAAATTTTCTTCAGTTTTCAGATTAATTTTTTTATGAAAAAATATTGGTTTTTTAGTGTTTTGTATGGTTTTTTAAACTAAAATAATAGTACTAATAATCAGTTAAAATCTTATGCTGTTTCACTGAAACTATAAAATTCCTCTTCCTGTTGTAATAAATGTATGATTTATAACGCCGATAAATAACCAAGAAAAATCTTACCTTTCCCAGCTCCGGTCACCAAAGCTCTTTTTCCTGCGAAATTAAAATTCATTGTTCTAACTGCAATATTTCTGTTTCGAGCTAAATTGTATTTAGCATCCACTGTATTCTGAATCAGGCAAGAGTTCCCCGTGTTTAAAACAATGAATCGAGACTCAATTATTTCTGAAATTCGTGATGAGATAAAAAAGACCCAACGCAAAATTCAACTTAATCGAATGCTATAGTATGATTGGTCGCTGTTGCGTGACGTAGGTAAATAAAAACAATTTTTTATTGGCTCACGTCCAGGTTTGTTTACCTTGAGAACTTGAAATAATTAGAATGATGAAGTTTAAAGATTTAACATATTGTATATAGAGTAAAATCATAAAACATTTTAATTCAGTTGGAAGATATTACCTTTTTTTTAGTATCTTCTTTTATTCTTTTATTTATAGCTTTCATTATTATCAGTAACAAAAAATTTTAAGTTGGTCTTAAATAATTTAAAAGATCGAAATAAAAATTATTTAATCCAAAGGAATGTTTTAGAACGTGAAGGTAAACTGAAAATATTTGCCTTTCAGAACGTCTAGAGGTTTATCTTATAATATAGACTTTATTTATTTACTTATTTANCAAACTATTGAATTCGAAATTATTATATATATATATATATATATGTATTGAAGGAGGTATAAGTCGAAATGTTTCAAGCTTCAGAAAAAGAAAGCCATTTTCAAGACTCGCCAAACATGAATGAGGAAAACTAAAGTGATTTGACGCAGAGAACGTAAAGTTTTGAACGAAAAGATGGAAAATAGATAAAGGTGAAAAACAAAACTAGAAAAACATCAGTAGCAGAAAGTGAAACAGCGGTATAAAAGTAAAGTTGTAAAAGAAACATGAAAAATAAGTAAAAATGAAAAAACGAAACTAGAAAAACCGCCGTGACCGAGAGAGGCAAACCAGAACAGGATGACGGGCATTTGATGCATTAAATTACTTGAGATGCAGACCAAACGTGCTTTGGTTTAAGAGTTTTCAATCAGCATAATTATTATCTCGATGTAATAATTGCTCGATCATAATAATTGTTCGATAATCAACCACCCTTAATATATGTTTTTAAAACACGTGTCTAAGATGAAGTAAAAAAAATACATGCTAGTTTACAAATTAATAGTTCTGGAAAACAAATAAACTCTGTTAAGCTATCATTATAGAGGGGGAAAAATTTCCATTGGAAACAGAGAGGCGATAATAAAAATTCCTTCAAATTTGCTTTGATATTTTTAATTCTACCTCCTTAAGCAATGACCCATCCGATTTTAATAAGATTTTTTTTCTTCTTTTTCTAACTTGTTTATTTTTAATTAAGATTCAAAGTAAACATATTAAGCGCGGTTATTACGCTTTACCTCGGGCATCTCTAAGAGATTCAACTTAAACCACGAAGACTGCAGTTTGAACATACATACAAACCCAAACATCGGAATAGAAACTATTCAAGGTGTTAGGGATTTTATTTTTGTCACATATTTTGATAAATAAATCAATAACAAACTGTCCTAGAGCAATTTGCCTAGCACCATTTTTCCGGATTTTTACTGTATAAGACTAATAAAAACTTGTCATAAACATAAAATCTTACTAAAAAGGATTTTTATTGAATATTTTTTAAATAAATTCAAAATAATTTGAACGAAGCATTTTAAAACATATATATTTCACTGATTCATATAATATTATCATAATCACTTTTATGATTCTAACATCACTTTTTCATAAGCACTATTATTCTCCAAACATTATTGATGTAACGTTTTTTCCAACGATTATATATTTTATGTTGTCAGGACGAATTTATGTTATGATAACTACCTGGTATCTCTCACAAACCAGGAAGTCTTCGATAATCGCGGTAAAGCGCGATGACAAAGCGGTTGTCCTTGAAAATCTACCGTGGGGAAGTTACATTTCCATTGATGTTAAGTATACAATGTGGCGTCCAGGAAGCTGACTGAGCTCCTTGGAAATAATGAGACAGGCTTTTATAAATAAATATATATATATTTTTTTTATTTCTAGTAACTTGACGGCTTTTATCGGCGTTGCTTAGTAAATTAAAAAAGAAAAAAAAAGAAGAAAAGAAAAAATAGAAGTAATCATTTCAAGGTAAAACTGTCACGAACTTGAAAGACATGTTGAAGTGGTTTTCATTGTTCTTTTGATTTATATATTTTTTTGCTGTACAATAAACAGACTTTAAGATATCCGACTAGTTTTGACATTTTTTTTTAAAAAATATTAATATAAAATTTTAAAAAACTAGTCCATTTGCTTTATTATGAGTAAAAGCTTATGAAACTAGCAAAACATTTACAGTATTATATTTTTGTTTTTTAAATGACCATTTTTCGATTAAAGAAAATAGAGCAGTTTTTTGCATATACACTAAACACCGTAAAAAAATTTAGAAGGCTATCAACTATGTTTTGAACTATTGTCTTAAAAGCAAGTGCATATACTACTGAATTAAGGATCAATGTAGCTTTAAAAAAAAAAAAAAAAAAAAAAAAAAAAAAAAAAAAATTTTTTTAAAAAAGNAAAAAAAAAAAAAAAAAAAAAAAAAAAAAAAAATATTTTTTAAAAAATTTCAGCACTTGTCTTAGCGAAAAAAAACATGCATAAAAAATGAAATTCTACTTTTTCTCTTAGTCTGTAGTTCGAAACATGTTTGCTATAATCATAAACACTCATGAAAAATAGTGGACAATTATTTCAAAAACAACAGGAGATATGGTGTTTAAAGTGGTGTGAAATGTGAAAAAATCTGATTTAGAGATAAACTTAAAAGCCCCAGTCTATCCACTGTTTTCACCTTGTACAAAAACTGCTATAACTTTATAAATAAATAGAGTACAAACAAAAGTGAAGTATTTTTAGAAAGTTAAGAGTACAGGAATTCTAAATTTATACTAAACTCAATTTCGAAAATTTTGTCCAAAATCATGTTTTTGCACTAGTTACTAGATACCTTAATGATTAATTCTATATTGATATATAAGTTACAGTCATTACTGTTACAGCAAATTATTGACAAGCGTTTTTCCCTCTCTTTACGCCAAAACTATTGCTTGTAGACAAAGTTTGAGACAAAGAGACAAAGACTCACTTGTTTCAAAAATATACAAATTGGAAATAACTATGGATTTATTTTAATGTAGTTGTAGTTTTATTTACGTCACACTAGAGCTGCACTATGGGCTATTGGCGACGGTCTGAGAAACGTCCCTGAGGATGATCCGAAGGCCTGCGATCACAATTTTGATCCTCTGTGGAGGGGATGGCACAGCCGCTTCGGTAGCCCGACGACCTGCGCACGAAGTCGAGCACTTTACGGCAGAACAGTTTAACGAGGACCCATACCACACACCCTCGATCCCTTCGTAGACTGATCCAAGTGGCGACCCACCCGCATACTGACAGCAGCCAGTGATACTTGACTTCGGTGTTCTACTGGGAACCGTGTCTTAACGATCAGTTAACTTTGTTTTAAGCGCACAAAAATAGGGGCCCATTTTCAAGACTAGTGTAAAATAATTAATCTAGTTTTAAAAATAGGAGCCTATTTTAGAGCCCTTGAAACATGTTGACTGTTGTTTCTAATTTAAATATTTTTGAAGCGAATGAGGTTTTTAATCAAGTAATATCTTACCACTTCAGTTATTTTGGGATTATTTATTTGTTAAAACTATTGGATGAAAACAAGTAAAATTTGCACATTATGAGAAAAATGATTGAAGAACACTCTGAAGGGAAAATGTCATTCGAGCGATATTAGTTATTTTTATAAAAAAGTTGATTTTTTATTTACATTCTTTTTACTTTTTTAAAGCTAAGTAGTTCAGCTTAACCAAGTGAAAACCATTACAAGTAGTAGTATGACTTTTTGCCGTCACCAAGCAATCTTTTTAAATTTCGAATTAGTTATAGAGCTATTAAATTTTTCCGCTTCTCTCAGTATACAGTTTTTCGATATATTTTAATGTAAAGTAAAAAAAAGAAAATATTCGAAGTAAAGTTATAATTTTTACATATTCTTTTGGGTCTAAAAAAAAATGCTTAAAAAAATTCAATTGTTTTGGGGATAATTCCATTCGAAAGCTTTCGGGCTTTTTTTTAATGAAACAAATTTATGCAATCCTAAAAAATAAAAAAAAAGTTTTTTTTTCTTTTTTTTTAAATTTTCATATCTTTTGAAGCGCCGGCCAGGTGGCCGAGCGGTTAGCGTGCCTGACTGCGAATCCATAGGCTGCGGGTTCGAATCCCGCTCTGGGCATGGATGTTTCTCACTCTTTCTCTCNCAGTATACAGTTTTTCGATATATTTTAATGTAAAGTAAAAAAAAGAAAATATTCGAAGTAAAGTTATAATTTTTACATATTCTTTTGGGTCTAAAAAAAAATGCCTAAAAAAATTCAATTGTTTTGGGGATAATTCCATTCGAAAGCTTTCGGGCTTTTTTTTAATGAAACAAATTTATGTAATCCTAAAAAATAAAAAAAAGTTTTTTTATTTTTTTTTATTTTTTTTAAATTTTTCATATTTTTTGAAGCGCCGGCCAGGTGGCCGAGCGATTAGCGTGCCTGACTGCGAATCCATAGGCTGCGGGTTTGAATCCCGCTCTGGGCATGGATGTTTCTCACTCTCTTTGTGCTATCCTCTGTTGTGTGTGTGTATGATGTGTGAATGTGGCCCACCCTATAAACGGGTTTGTGGCAGTGTGGCGTGGGTAATGTTGCTCGCCTCCATGACGTTGGTTCACAGGTGCCCACTGGGTAACGCGAAATGAGCTACAATTCTGGCATAGTATAGGCAAAGATTCAAATTCAATGCCTCCCATTGGAAAAAAAAATATATATATATATTTTTTGAAGCTGTAAAGTTTGATAACATGCTCGGTTATGCAGTCAAATTTAATTTAGAATAAAAAAATACAATATTTTAAATAAGAGGGACTCGCTATTAATATTTACCTAACTAATAAAGACATATTTTCCACAGTCAATTTCTTCGCTTTTGAATCTGCTTTCTGTGTACGTAGTCATGCACAGGGCCTGATTATCGCCTAGGCCCAATAGGCATGGGCCTAAGGCCCCCAATATCTGAGTGGCCTCAAAAATTAGTAAAAAGTCATCAATATTAAGGTGTCTTTTAA